TTAACAAATTATAGTTTAAAATGCTAAGATTGCACCATAAACATTTTCTGGGGGTTTTGGGGCTCATTTCACTTGCAGTTATGCAAACCCCAAAAATGCCACCCCCTTTACAATTGCTGGCTACTCACATTGTATCCCTAAGTAAGTGCCAAGTGAGTTGTGACCACAAGTCTCTTGCAGGTTAAGGATAATGCCTCAGACACAATAGATTGTTATTCCACCTTCAAACCACCTTTGATTAATTACAATAAAGACAGCACTTTAAGAGTGCAGAGTGGACAAAAGTACAGGAAAGCAATTCATCACTTAGCATAGGCAATGGTTATAGATTTAAAAGGTATGAAATTAGATTTTCTTGTTACAATAGAAAACTCAATCATATTGTCAAAACATAAATGTTTATGGCTAAAAATGGACCATGCATCCATTGATGGCTCAAAATGTACCATATATTCCATGGTGACTCAAAATGTACCATATATCCCTTGATGACTGAAAATGTACCATGCATCCCTTGATGGCTCAAAATGTACCATGTATACCTTCATGACTCAAAATGTACCATCCATCCCTTGATGACTCAAAATGTACCATATATCCCTTGATGACTCAAAATGTACCATATATCCTTTGATGACTCAAAATGTACCATACATCCCTTGATGACTCAAAATGTACCATATATTCCATGGTGACTCAAAATATACCATATATCCTTTGATGAATCAAAATGGACCATGCATCCATTGATGACTCAAAATGTACCATATATTCCATGGTGACTCAAAATATACCATATATCCTTTGATGAATCAAAATGGACCATGCATCCATTGATGACTCAAAATGTACCATATATTCCATGGTGACTCAAAATATACCATATATCCTTTGATGACTCAAAATGTACCATACATCCCTTGATGACTCAAAATGTACCATATATTCCATGGTGACTCAAAATATACCATATATCCTTTGATGAATCAAAATGGACCATGCATCCATTGATGGCTCAAAATGTACCATATATTCCATGGTGACTCAAAATGTACCATATATCCCTTGATGAATCAAAATGTACCATACATCTTGATGACTCAAAATGTACCATATATTCCATGGTGACTCAAAATGTACCATACGTCCCTTGATGACTCAAAATATACCATCCATTCCTTGAAGACTCAAAATATACCATGCATCCCTTGATGGCTCAAAATGTACCATTCATCCCTTGATGGCTCAAAATGTACCATCCATTCCTTGAAGACTCAAAATATACCATGCATCCCTTGATGGCTCAAAATGTACCATTCATCCCTTGATGACTCAAAATATACCATCCATTCCTTGAAGACTCAAAATATACCATGCATCCCTTGATGGCTCAAAATGTACCATTCATCCCTTGATGACTCAAAATATACCATCCATTCCTTGAAGACTCAAAATATACCATGCATCCCTTGATGGCTCAAAATGTACCATTCATCCCTTGATGGCTCAAAATATACCATCCATTCCTTGAAGACTCAAAATATACCATGCATCCCTTGATGGCTCAAAATGTACCATGCATACCTTCATGACTCAAAATGTACCATGCACACCTTGATGGCTCGAACTATGCTTTGTAAACTTGCACAGCTAACATTGAGATCATCTCATACACATGTATATGCCATGTACCCCTCAATGATTATTGAATGGCTACTTTATTCATTGCTAATTTCATTTATTTTCTCTTTTTCAAAATTTTTAAAAATATATTACCCATAATATATTGTCAATGGCGTGGGCTATTCTTCAATTATATAAAAATACAAGGACATGTTAACACTGTTTTGCATATGGCGTATAAGCAAAGAATGACGCACATTAAAAAAACATATTAATAGGTCTTTTTTTAACATAAAGAGAAAATAGTTCCAGTTAAGGAGTTCATTTTGACATAAAAATTTGTAAAAGTTATTAATTGTAGAAATATCTTAACTGTTAATTGCTTAGTTTCCCAGGATTTCATTCTATTTAAATGGAGCCTTAAAAATCTTGTGACGTCAATATGACATCATTCTTTCGGCAATAAAAGCAACGTATTTAGCCATGTACCAATACCAACCCAGGTGGCCCGTTAATGTGAAATGTCTAATTAAAAAAATATATAAATGTGTACTTTATTGATATTATTCTCATGTACTTTTAAATTATTGAATTTAACTTTTAACTTTTAATTTAATTTCATAAAAGAACTCTGAGAAGCTGTTAAATGATCACAAGTGAATGACCGCATCAAAAATATAAGATTTCATTTTATTTAATTTTCTTTCTTATGATTCAATTATCCCCCACAGAATATAGAGAATAGTAAAAATTATGAAATATAAGAAAAATATCTTATTGTTAATACAGTTAATATGTTTGTTGCATAAATATGCTGCGTTTTGAGACATGGTTAACCTCTTTAAAATGAAAAATGCATTCATTCAGGGGTTTAAAGATATTATGGATGACCAAAATTAAGCTGATAACAATGGATCGCATGAATTTTCCCGATGGGAAAATAACACGAGAAATATTGTTTCCCAAATAAATGCATTTTTCCTTTAAGAGTTTAAATGTGTCTCAAAAAACCTGCCCAAGTGAACACTAGTGTTGTCGCGATGTGCCATAATCGTACATCGATGCATCGGCAATTTTCAGTAGTAAACATCGATGCACATCGCGATGTACATCGAGAAAAAGTCCGAGAAAAGTGCACTGAAATACCGAATGCTAATGCACTAAATACCGAACATCCGGTACATCCAGGGACTTTTAGTAAGGGTGAAATGACAGTAAAGTAATTTTTTTAGATTAATGGTTCATTTCGACTAGCTAAAACAGTTTTAAAGCGAAAGAATATCAGAAAACATTGGAAAATGAAATAAGACATGAGAAAGGTTAGCGATTTGCGTCAAAATAAGATAAGAAAGGGTGATTTTTAGCAAATTAATTTTTTTTAAAAACATCGATGTTTTGTTTCAGACATCGATGCATCGCCAGAATCAGCTTTTGCGATGTATATCGCGATGTATTGATTAATCGCGACAACACTAGTGAACACCTCTCTCTAGTGAACACCTATCTCAAGTGAACACCTCTCTCAAGTGAACGCCTGTCTCCAGCAGACACCCTTCCACTGCACATACTCTACTAACTACTTTATAATTTACTTTTTTCTCTGTAGCCTCTGTACAGAATACCTACCAACACTGAATGTTTTTTCTTGCCAAAAATACAATATACACAGGTTTTATTGTATCTGATTTATCTAAATGAACTGTTTTCCTCTTTTAATTCAGAACTATTTTTGCCTTGAACTATTATTTGTGCTACATATACATTGTGTTCCGGTGGTTGTGTTTTGAAATGCAATATTAAGTAAAAGATGTGAAATTAACAAGGATTAAAAGTAAATATTCCAAATCGTTTCAAAATGTCATAAAATTAAATATTACTTTCGAAATTTAAAGAGAAATAGAGTAAAATGGCATGCTTAAAGTAAATTCGTTGAAATGATGTTTCTATGTTTACTTGTTAAAGTGTCTGTTGATGTAATATTTATGTATCATAGTTTGACAATAAAGTATGTAACTAACTAACATCAAGTGATTTTGTGAGCATTATGTGACTTTTACATTTGTAAGTACTTAATGCACACAAATAAAAGGGTTCATTCTTATGTTTACAGCATCTTTCTTAGGCTTTCTCTGAAGCATGGAGAAGGTCTGGGCTTGAGGTGTGACCTACCATGATTAAACGGGTTTAGAAAACATTACCAATAGTGCCATTAGGGTCTATTTTCGATGATAAATAACATACCTTATGTCTAGGTGTAAACAGTAAGATAATTCAATCGTCAAATAAAAGACACGTTTTTGACAACAGGTGATATTTCAGACGATGCTTATATAGAAAGTGTCAAATAAAAGACACGTTTCCTGACTCCACGTGTTATAGCTATGAGGTAAATATATAATTCTGTAATAGGAAAATCCAAATATCAAACAAAGTCCATAGACATGATTAGGATCTGATATATGCTTGACACATGCCTATTAGACTATATGTTAAAGTAAGCAAGTGTCAGTTGACAAAGCGCTTGCTAGGTTTTTAGACAGATATTCATTTCCTTCCACTCGGTTTGTCTCACTTATCGAGTGAATTTCTCAAATTTCGAGTCAATTTCCAAATTTTGGCCCTTAAAAAGCCCCCAAAATTTGAAAAATTTAAGGCCAATTTTCCTGATAATTTGGCATAAAATTAAGAAACAAGGCCAAAAAGGCCCATAAATTAGGACCCAAAAAATCTTTTTAAACAATTTTTTTCTGGGCCCACCTTAATGGAATTAATGGCAATTTAATGGATGCATATAAAGTTTGAGTTATACAATGACTTGGTGTAGGGTAATTATAGCACACAAGTGGCTTTAACAAGTGGCTTTAACAAGTGACTTTAAGTTTCACCCCGCTAAGAAGAACTCGAGGACAATGACACATCAACAATAGGTGAGGGGTGACAAGAAGGTTAAGCCATGGGAAACAATAGGAACTGACATCACATTGCACTTAGAGAGCCATCAATCCTGACACAATGCTTTATAGCATTTTAACAAGAGGAACACAACTTCAGGACACGTCTTAGAAATTCTTGTATCCTTAAAGATGTCACCTGAGCAAATAGTTTCTCCCTGAAAATCCTTATTTGTTTTGTACTATAAAATATTTGAACAAAATGTCTGATTTGTGGTATTTTCATAGAATTCAGAGTCTGGACTCAAGACTGGTTTCCTTATCACCACTGATTCTTCTATTTTCCTCTCTTATTTTGTATTTTAAAACATCCCCACCGAGATATTTTTTCGTGGTAATGCTCATAAACATGCAATGTTATTAGTGTGAAATGAGATCTCTAATTTTATTTGTTTCCTTACTTAAAAGGACAGTAATTACAACCAATTAAATGATAATTACAGAATTATTCATTGGACCATGTTAATAAACTCAAGAGAAAACAATTAAATCTTTTTCTATTTATTGTAAGTTGTGTATGCATCTTGTCATGGATTTACAGAACTTGTTTTGATCATTCATTAGTGGTGACCCTAATTTGAACTCATGATTCTATATATATAATCTCAATCCAGAACCTCAAGAATCCTGTCACTAGCTTCTGACATGACATTAAGATATTAATTAAGCTATTAATCTTATATAAGAATGATATGATGGTATTTTCTCACAGTGAAATAATACTCTGTTTCCATAGTAACTTGCATTTGATGCTTATCTATCTCCAATCCTATGAAAAAGAATCCAAGACCTTACCTGATTCCTGGAATTTTTTGAACAAGCCTTCATTTTCTCGAAGGATAAAATTCAGAGTCTTTTTCTGATAAAAGTCATTTCTTAGTTCTATATTGTCTATGACATCACTGAGTAAGTGGGCGCGTCCTGCGTTTGAGCCAGGTGCGTCAAACTTGAGGTGCGTGAAGTGGACGTGAAAGTGATAGTATGACGGCTGGTAATGGATGTAAATTCGCAGTTGAGAGCCATCTACATCAAACGTGTCTTTGATCGCTTTCTGGAAAATACAAATGAAAAATAAGTTTTGTATTGCCCAGTACAGAGGATAAAGATCTAATCCTCATTGAAAGAAATTAAAAGAAACTGTGCAAAATAAAACATAATGTGTTATATAGTAAAACAGTCACTCTACTATCTTTCAGGCACTGGTGTTATAACATTGGCTGGAAGAACCCTAATTCAGGAATATCTTACAACGTTGGCCAAAAAGAATTGAAAATTTCGCTCTAATTTTATGAAATGTAATTGTTCGCCGTCATATTTCAACTGGATGATCTTACTAACATTTTATGTTTAACCTGTCATTTTTGAAATTAAAATGAGAACTCGTCTACCAACATTGGGTCTGAAAGCATACACCAAATTCCCTTACTTCTTAAAGGGTATTATTCAGACCCCTGCATTTGGAGAGTTCAAAAGATGTTTTTTATTTAAACCTAGATTATTTTGCAACATAGGTGTTCTCAAATATGACCCAGCCCCTCTCATAATTTGAGGAAATTCAACAAGAACAACTTGCAGCTCAGCGTGTCATAAAACAAAAAATAATTTTATGTCGTTTTTAAATAAATATTGCTCTAATGGATTGTCCGTTTAATGCTTGTCATAACAAGCCACAATCCATTATTCTGTTATTATAATTTTATTGTCACAGATGCTCAAAACAATATCCATTTATTTGAAAAACAGAAAAATAAATCCAGCACCTAGGGGGATGACCCTTCGATAACATGCATCAGGTGTCCTTGCCTTGTTTACTCAATATTGGCAACATACAAGTGGGAGATGGTGGGGAAATAGGGGGATAATGGAGTGTTTGCGCAATTACAAGTATTACAGTTAGGTACAAGGCAAAACATGCAAAATGTCACCACCTCCCATTTGTTACAGATGGTGACCACCGACCGCCGAACACCAACCATAAAAAAGTTGGAGACTATAACAAGATATCGGCACTTCTGGTGGTGCCATAAAAATATAACACAATATTATGTAACAATAGGCAACTCCTAGAAAAAAACAAACAACAATAAAAATCTTCATTTGCTAATAGGTATACTTTTTGGCATAAACACATCAGCAAAAATGAAACATTTGGTTAAATGGTATTTGAGTTATCACCCGATGAATAGATTGATAAAAGGACAAATGGACAGATGGATAGATTTGGATGGGTATATCTCTATGAGTTATCAAATTTTTACCAAATTGAAATAATATGTTAAACAAGATCCAGGAACCTCATCCATGGCATATCAAAACAAGTGTTTTTCTCTAAAGATGATGTCCAGGTTTCTCTGAGTTGAAACCCTGAAGTGATAATATCCCTTAATTAGCAGCAATAACAATATATAGATAGATACATTTTCTAAGAAACGTGATTGAATGTTTTTCGGATGTCAATCACATGTCTTTAAATGATACAAAATGTCAATAAAAGCTATATAATAGCAATAAAAAACAAGTGGGTGGGGGTTGGTCTATCAGAGATAACTGAAATTGACTTCAATGAGATTTCAAAGCTAGTTAGCAATGGCTCCATTGAAAACTTAGAGGTTTCATACTGTCAGATTTTAATGAAAATGGGTGTGTTATCCTGATAAAACAATACTTGGGTAACCACTAGTCTAGCTTCAAGCCTTGTGAGCTTTCTCCCTCTATACACCTCCCTACAGTAGGATGTGTTTGTGAAATAGATAAGCAGGGAGGGGTGGGGGGGGGGTCACAGCCTTGAAGCAAGACAAGGTAACCACTTATACATGTACTTTTGATTTGACCTACCAGTTATGATAAAGTTTGTTACACAATTTAATTCTTTGAAATAATCTACATAATATATCATAACAAAGATAGTTAGTATTCATTAGTATTATAATGGTAGATTGACTCTCTTTTAAAAAAGCACAATCAAATTAAAGCAAAGTTGAAAGGGTACATATAATAAACAAAGAGATTTTTTGGAATTACAAAAAGTCGTCTTAACCTGTCTAAATTGTCTAGGTGTATCTTTCCAAAGATCACTCAAAGTTCACTTTACAAGTAAATACTCTCCAGATAAACAAAAACAATATCATATTAGCTAGATAAACACCTGTAACAGGTACGATACCTCAATAGGTATTACATTATGACAGAAAAACGTCATAGTATTGTTATGTAAACAATAACACGAGCATGTGTATTGCTGTGTGATAAATACGAGAACAAGTTAGTTCTGGTAAAATGTTATTAAGATGTTTTCAGGTATGATTCAGAAATAAAGAGCACCCGGTATTATAACCCTGAGCACCAAGCATTCTCAAGAGGTATGAGGAGGGGGGTTGGTTATTCAGATTTTTTGGAGTAAGAGACCTTGAGAAAAAGTGTTGAAGCTTCGAACGCCCTACAAGACTAAAACCCATTTTCTTTCATAAGTAATTATGAAATCAAAGACAAGAAGCACCCTGGAGTTCCTAATGAGAAGCTAATTAAAACTCAACAAGGACAACAGCCAGGGTATGAGAAAATGATATAATTTCTGTTATTATTATTAGTATATGTAATTATACATGGGCTGCCTTTAAGGGGGGTATATATAAGGATTGTGAGGTCCAGCAATCTCCCAGGCCCTTCAGACATTTTCCCAACAGGGTGCGGTTTCATAATTTTTTTACCTGAGTTGTATGACGTCAGAAATGCACATTTTTCATGTTGAATGTGATTGTTTAATTTACCTTTAAATTTATTGCAATGCATAATGACTTCTATGTTAGTAATACTTTTAGAAATGATGTCACAAATGAACAAGATTTTGGTTACCCTGGAATGAGGAAAATACTCCCATATTATGACCATCATAAGTAGCTTCAACCTTTCTGAGCACATAATGACCCCCCTCCCATCTGATACCCCTGTCCCCCTCCAAAGAACAATCTAAAATACGGTAAATTGATATGTTGTGCATTAAAAGTATTTAGTGATAAGTATTTTACAAACATTTCAAGTGTTATCCTATACAGTACAATGCTATTACATTTGTTTAACGATTAATAATACTTCAAAGAATGAAAAAATCCCCTATGTGTAAAAACAAAATGTTTATGATAAGGATTAACCAATCAAAAGTTTTAATGACATGACTGAAACCAATCAAATGAAATAAATAAAAGTGTAGTTAAGAATGTATACGTAATAAATATTTGTTTCCTTGTCATTGTTTGTTGACAATGAAAAAGTGAAATAAAAGAAAATGTCCCCCTCCCTTTTAAAACTCTTCTCCATATGAGAGTTTACTCACTTTAAAATTGAAAAATAGAGTGGAATTAGCAAGGAAAACAGTAAGCAAACATGAAGTCAACACTCTACAACTAAATTTTGAAAAGATAAGGCCCATATTCTTGATAATTTGGCCTAAAATTAAAAATAAGGCCCAAAAAGCCCAGTAATTAGGGCCTCAAAATCCTTTTGGGCCCAAAATCAAATCATTTTTCATAGCGTCCAACAGTCTAAGCAAGACCAGAAAATTATTTAAAACAATGCATTAAACATAAAAAAATGATCTACTTTTTAATATCTCAAGGTGAGAGGTTACCATAACAATTGAATTAATTTGACATAAACATAGTTACCGAATATATACACCAGCAATAAATCTTATTTACTTCATGCGTGTAAACAAACACATTATCCAATGTTTACGCATAATTTTCTGGAATTTGGTTGCTATAACTTGAAGGAGGGGGATGAAAAGAAAGGTATTTGTCATTCAAGGAAATGTGAAACATGCAAGTCTACACGAACATTATCAAATGATAACGTCATGAGGAAGGTACTACTTTCATGATAAAATCGTTTTTTAGATGCACAGAAAGGAAAGTAACCACAAATTATGCAAAAAATGACACATAGAAGTCACAATGTACCTTTGAGAATAAATCAGGCTGCTTATATAATGAGAATGGGTTACCGGTAATATAACCTTGATAACTCAAATGAGAATGATAAGGACCTTGAAAGACTTGAATAAAACAAAGATAAAACAGAATGCATGCTAATATAGACTCTAATAAACTAGAAAATAGAACCCCACAGAATGGCAAGTCTCAAGGAACAATATATAATTTCTCAAACATTCAAGTTTATGTAGCTCTGAATTGATCACAAAAAGTAAATATCAATCATGAGATTTATGTTGTTTTGTTTTTCAAATGTTGCTATTTGTGCTTTTTAATGTACAATAAATACGTCCTTCAATTTACATAATGGCGATCATTTTGTGTTCCCTATAAAGGATTTTGATGAATGTAATGTGAGAGATGTCATAATATGATATTTGCATAAAGGCATATAGTCGATATCTCAAGATTTTTGCAATTTTCCATATTTGGGCGACCTCTATGGACTTTTTTGAAAAATAAAACACAAGGCTTTAGCATGCACCACCTGCCATTTGTTACAGATGTTGACCGCCAACCACATAAGACCATCTATTCCATTTTACATTTCCTACGAGTATAACAAAACTGTACATTGGAGATTAATCAATTAATTAAAAATTAATAGAAATTCCCATCTTCTCAATGTCTCAAATTCACCCCCTTGGGAGTAAGATTACATTATCAACCACTCATTACCTAAATATGAATGATTTTTCGCAAAATTTCCGCTATTTATAAAGTATGACCATTTTGAGATTTTTTTTCGTAAAACGACCGATCATTATTCATCCTTCAACCAAATTTGAAGGAAATTGGTCAACATATATTTCAGTTATGTTACGGACAGATGGACTGAGATGGTACATCGAAGGATTCACTACATCCCATTAAAACTTCTTTTGTTGGGATAATTGAAGCTTGCGAATGCAAGTAGTGGCTAGCGACTACCGGATTAACCAACTATTTTTGACCAACTCATTTAAATATGAATGGAATAGTGGTAGGTGCTATTTATATTTAAATGAGTTGCCCATAAAAAGTAGGTTAATCATAATCTGGTAGCAGACAGTCGAAATTTGCACTCGTGAATACAAGCTTAGTAACATTGAGGCACCATATAATTTCACACATACATACATAGGAATAATCAAATGATATATCGGTCATATTATATTTACAAGCTCGAGGTTATCACGTTTTACGGAACGACTTGCAATGTCCATATATCACGATAATAGCATACTCGCTTTCCATACGATTTTCATCCAATCAATTCTATTTTATTTCATTTGCATATCAAAACAATGATCGTCATGACATTTTTCTCATGCAGTGTCATGGTAACCAGGGGCCCTTGATTTAAACAAATTAATCAAACAATAAAACAAGCGCAAGGTTAATAACGACTTAAATCATTTTCAGATTTGTTCGTTTGCGTTCACTGTCATTTTGAACTTCTTGATAGCGAAGACACACTTACAGTCATGTACGCCATGGTGTATGATGTCATTTACCTGCAACAAGCTACTTAACCTAGTTTCCTTATTATCATTCTTAATTTATAAAACAGTAATTGCCTATCATTCAAAAAAAAAGAAAAATTTACCTCGAAAAATATGCATTATTCTACTGTTTGATCTCAAAAATCAAAAACACCTAAATAAATTAATCAAATAATCAATATCTCAGCATTTTTTATTCCATACCATATGACCAAATATTGTGTTAAAATCTTTAATCAACCAGGCATAGGAAGGAGAGTACCAAGGCAACTTTTACTAGAATCATTGTGAGAAAGGCATATTTTATTGATATGGTTTATGGTGCTGCCACCTTTTAATAAATAAGAAGTTAATAATCACAAATAGGAAAAATCTATCCTGACCATACTTATTCTGGTATATACTGATGAAAATATCATCCAATGTTTTGAAAATGAAATGCATGTTTAACATTAATAAGGGATTCCACATATTAACTAATCATGATTCGAACATGACTGTATTCATGCCTTCTATAAACTGTAAACAAAGTCAGCATTTCGCCCGGTGTATATTCACGAAGAATACCCCTGGTAATGCTGTAATGTGTGACGTCATAACAGCGGGTCGCAGTAATGGCGGACCATAATGAATATTCAAAACATTTTGGTGAGTTTTCATGCTCGAATCGTAATATAGACCTCAGAGCAGGGGTAATATCGTCCAATACACTCATTAGGGCTAGGCACAAAAGCTTACAGAAAACGTTTGTGCCTAGCCCTGCGGGGTATATTCGACAATATTACCCCTGCTCTTTGGTCTACAATTATTGATGGAATGGTGGTGAAATTTAATATGAAAGTCAAAGGGATGTTAAAATCATTTTGGAGTTTAATAGTCAGTAGAATTTTAATCTGTTTTCTTCAATATTACTAAATCACGGTGTATAACCCAAACGCTCCTACATGCACGACGGAGCGTTTCATTACTGAAATTAAACAAAGAAACGCTCCGGAGTAGGAAAACTGTCTGGCGGGAATGATGAGCCGTCTGACAATTTCCCCAATAATGGGTATAAGAGGTATGAGTTACATATTTCGAGTATACCATTCGATGGGTGTGATATTCATGTTGTACGTGGCTGGCTGTTGACGTTTGAAGCAATTAGGAAGAGCTGTACGAAGCAGTATAGTTATCAAAATTCAAAAACGTATTTGTCATTCTATCGGTCAAAACCCCTTTTGTCGATACATGTGATTAGTTGAGCCAAGATTAGAGCACCAACGTATATTTTAGTCAAATTCCAATGCTTCAACGCACCATACATTATCGTAATAGTGATTTGATGACCGAAAATCCAGTCTTAAAAATGATGACATTCTCATATTCAAGAAACGCTCCGATCTGGTTAACACAGTGAATTGGAAACGCTCCGGTAGTCTAGATCAGTTAAGAAATATATAGCTTGCCTTTCCTTTTCAGGAAGAGGAAGAAAAGATATAGTATACCCCTTGGCACCATTAGAAGAAAGATTAATTCACATATAACTTTTCGTTTTTTTCTATAGTTTTATGATTTAGCACATATGTAGGCATGACATCATCTAATGTATAGGCTTTAATCAGCTAGTTGCACGTTTAGCACCACCAGGTTCAGATGTTTCAATTTGCCTAACAAGTACAACACGTTTTTGAGAGATAGATTCGATTCGGAACTCTTCTCTAATTAGCTGAAAATGATATCAAAACAAAATGGTAAGAGCGTTTCTAAAATTGTGGTCTAAATCGACGGAGCGTTTCGAGGAAAACAAGCGATTTCTCGAGAACAAGTAATGGATTTGGACTTGGATTTTAGGAAATGAGAATATACGAGTTTGTGATCTACTACTTAAACAGAAAGATTAACGTTTTCATAGAAATACTAGTTTAATTCGTAATTTGTGGTCAAATCGTCATCTTCAGATTCGTTCGGTCTACACTACGGAGCTTTGATCAAGCAAATAACAGTTTACCACCAGAAGTTGAATAAATAAGATCTTTGCTCACGGTATTGTTCATCGAATGGTACATAATATTTCACCATGACATATGATATGTAAGAGAAACGAGAGAAACAATACTTACGGTCATAGTAGAATCTTCATTAGCCGCCATTTTATTTCGCTCCGGAGCGTTTCCGCGTAAATGTAACGCTCCGTCGTGCATGTAGGAGCGTTTGGGTTATACACCGTGTAAATATATCAGCAGTGGGAACACTGAATATTTGAAGAATACAATGTGGAAGTTTCAGGTTTTATCCCAACCAGGGATGATTTTTCTATGCAATCTTCAATTCCTTGTCAAAATATCACATGGCTGGTCTTACTTTTCTCAAGTGGGTGCAAAATTCTTATTTTCACAATTTTGGCCAAATTTGGTCAAAATACGCCTATTTTTCATAATTTTTCAAAGGTTTTCAAGTGGATGCAAATGTATTCAAAGGTGGGTACAAGCTTTTTATTAACTAAAATCTCAAGAAAATGAAAATGAGAATTTTGCACCCACTTTAGAACAAGACACACAGTGATAAATATCGCACTTTGAAGAGCAAACTGGCCACCATGCAATTTACCCAGCATGGCCAAAACCTAATCAGACCTTGGCACTAGTCTGCTCTTGCATCTGTAAACATTTCAAGTTGACAAGGTTAGCGGTTTTCCTGCAATTTTGATGACAAGAATTTATTTGTAGTCTTGAACTTTGGGAAAAATTAGATAACATTGTTTGTGACCTAATTTGATGACCTTCGACCTTGAAAATTTCACTTTTTCAGACCTCAGTAGGTGTTTTGTAATTAAGCTGACCTAAATTTAAATCCAAAATATCAATTTAGAAAATCAAATTTTTGACCTTGTCAAGGTCACTGAAGGTCAACGAAAGGTCAAATCTGAAATCTAAGGTCAGATTTGAACTTCTGAGAACTTGTAGATGTTTTTAAGAAAAAAATTTGGTCAATTTGGAGCATGTTGAAAAATTCAAAATGGCCACCAAATTGAAAAATTCAAAATGGCCACCATGAAATTCAGCCAGCATACCCAAAACCTAATCAGATCTTGGCAATAGTCTGCTCTTGCATCTGTAAAAATTTCAAGTTGAACGGATAAGTGGTTTTCCTGGAATTTTGATGACAAGATTTGTTGAAAAATTCAAAATGGCCACCACGTAGTTTACCCAGCATGCCCTTAACCTAATCAGATCTTGGCACTAGTCTGCTATTGCATGTGTAAAAATTTCAAGTTGAACAGGTTAGCGGTTTTCTTGGAATTTTGATGACAAGAATTGATTTGTAGTCTCAAACTTTGAGAAACTTGGATAACATCATTTGTGACCTAGTTTAATGACCTTGACCTTAGACCTTGAAAATTTCACTTTTTCAGACCTCAGTAGGTGTTTTGTAATTAAGCTGACCTAAATTTAAATCCAAAATATCAATTCAGAAAATCAACTTTTTTGACCTTTTCAAGGTCACTGAAGGTGAATGAAAGGTCAAATCTGAAATCTAAGGTCAGATTTGAACTTCTGAGAACTTGTAGATGTTTTAAAAAAAAATTTGGTCAATTTGGAGCAAGTTGAAAAATTCAAAATGGCCGCCAAATTGAAAAATTTCAAAATGGCCACCATGTAATTCAGCCAGCATACCCAAAACCTAATCAGATCTTGGCAATAGACTGCTCTTGCATCTGTAAAAATTTCAAGTTGAACGGATAAGTGGTTTTCCTGGAATTTTGATGACAAGATTTGTTGAAAAATTCAAAATGGCCACCACGTAGTTTACCCAGCATGCCCTTAACCTAATCAGATCTTGGTACTAGTCTGCTGTTACATCTGTAAAAATTTCAAGTTGAACAGGTAAGCAGTTATCCTGGAAATTTGATGACAAGATTTGGTTTATGTCCCGCCCGCCCGCACGCCCGCACACCCGCCCGCCCGCCCGCCCAACAGCACAAGACGACGACAATATAGCACTTTTTCAAAGTGCGATAAAAAACTGTGTGGGTTTCTATAAAGAACCATAAAAGAAAACATCCTACCTTTCCTCTGGTGAGAATGTTCCTCAGGAGAGGCAGGTGGGAAGAATTGAGATCACGTAGAGATTTGATGCCACGTTTATGACATATCGCTATCAGGTAGAGATTGTCAGTCTGTTTCTGATCCCACTTCATATCTGGTAGTAAAATGAACCTAAAATAAAATCATTTTCAAAAAATCATTATGTTATTTGTATAATAACAGCCATCATATTTCTGATATTATAGAAATCTGTGTGATATCTCTACTAAAATCCTATATATCAGATGCATAAGTGAAAGATATCAACAAATGTATCACTCTCGAATCTTATTTGTATTTTTTATTTGATATTAACTTGATATTGAGTCAAATGTTCTGTTATTCTATCTTTTTTATGTGATTAACAAAATTTTTCAAACAATAAGTTAGTATATGTAAGAAACCTGTGGTAACATGAAGCAAGAATTACATAGGCATATCACTTTTCCTAAAAGTATATCACTTTTTCTAAAGGTATATCACATTTTCTTAAAGCATATCACTTTACACGACTGCATTCACCAGTGCTCAAAATATCTTAATGACTCAAGAAATGACAATGTTTTTGAACACTTTGAAATAAATAAATATACTATAAATAAATGTCCATAAAATATTTTTTCTAAACCATATCATTTTTTGAAGGAATACCAATTGACATATCACAATTATTTCAAAATTATACAACAAAACTGACAAAAAATAAATAAATATTATAAATAAATAAACATTATAGATTGAATCTTAACCTTAAGGTACTGGTGGACCGAAAACATTTTGAAAATACATGTATTCCCATACCTGCACATGTTATTTTCTGGTACAAAATAAAATATGAAAGCATGTGTGTATTTCCTTGTTTTTTCAGGAAAGTATCATTACATTGTCTTCTTTTAGTAAACATGGAAACAGGCCAAAGGTAACTCCAGTGTTGTCCATAAACTTTGAAAAATAATTTGGAAAGTTAGAAAGCATGAAATATCAGCATTTACTGGACTTACCATTGAGCTCTTACCAGGCTTACTAAAAGAAGACAGTGTAATGATGCTTTCCTGAAAAAAAAGCAAATACACACATGCTTTATTTTGTACCAGAAAATGTGCAGGTATAGGATTTTTAAAAAATGTTTTGTTACAAAAGTACCTTATAAGGTTTCAAAATAAGATTTTATTATTTTGTTAACTATCAGTATATGACATATTGAATGTGTGTCGATAATATAAATAAATGTGGGAATCAAAATATTTTCATTTATATTTCTTTATACAAAAAGTTATTTATTCAAATCAATCATTTATCTAGTATGCTTATCTCCCTTTATTGGATATTGACCTGTTATTAATAAAATAAGTTGATGGTTTTGGTTTAACAAGATGATTATAGTTTTAAGGGTTATAAGGATTGTTTTGAACTCTAATTTTCTATGTTGAACCCCATCTTCATTTTCCCAGTTTTAGAGTCCAAGAACAATTTTTCAGAAATATTCCAGTCACGCTATAGAAAGGGCACTAGGTGATTGTATATTCCTTTTTTTGATTTGAATTTGATTTGAAAAATATATTTATTCTGGGTATCGATTCCTGTTTGAAATTTCATGTGCCGTAAAAGACATACTGCAGTAAAACCTGTGACAGTAAATCACCTTTTTGTGCCAAGGACATGTGCTTGAGATATTGATTCTGGGTGAGAAAGCAGAAAAATTTTAAGTATCTTTTTCCTATAAATAATATTTACTTAGAATATTATAAATTTTACATATTATTTTCACATATTATTTTAAGTGAGAAATATCATAATGGCTCATTAAAATGTTTAATTTGGCCTACATTTTAGCTGTATAAATATTTGTGATTCCCTTCAACATACGAGGGTTGATCATAAAGTTCTTGTAATATCTCTCTAATTTCTCTATTTTTCAATATATTCTAATGAAATTTTCACAGAATGTGCAGCATAGAATGTCTTATTAATGCAGCAAAATAATAATAAACATAATAAACTCTAATAAATTACCAAACACGTTAAAATTTGAACTTGAATATGTTGTTAAATGCTTTTACTATTAAAAAAAATTTATCATGTGGATTGTGTGATGTCATAGGGGATGCTTTCATGCTTCATTAGATGTGATACCAGAGTCTGAGACTCAAAGCTAATGATTAAAAATGACTGAGTAAGAGAATGCACTCGTAGATGTAGAGATCTTCAGAAAAATAAAATTCATACTGACAAAATGTTATGTTAAGCATAAAGATCCTTTGGTCAGACTAAACATGATCTAAAACAAATATATTGCTAAGATATAAACTAAATTACACCCTCTGTGTGGTCTGAACATGTTAAAAATGAACTAAAGGGGCAAATAAATTTTCCTCGGAATATTTGACAAAACAGTCATAGGGTCTAACCATCCTCCTAAGCAGGTGTCCAGAATCCGTACCTCCTTCTTCCCCCTGCTATAAGCAGTTAGCATTTCCCTGATTAAGAACTCGCAATTTGATTGGCTGTCGCAACACTGCGACAGAAATCATGTATACGCCATCGGCGCATAATAAGATCACGTGATTCAGTTTAATCGGGCGCGTCCAACTTGGTTATAGCAGGGGGTAAAAAGAAAGAAGATATTCTGGATTTTGAAGCCCTGTGATCGGAGGATGGGTCTAACAGTCACTTCTAATGAAGCATAACAATCATCCATTATGAGATAATTTACTTCACATGACCATTAAAATAGTTCACAACAGTCAAGAGCACACATTATTTGACAATTTAATGTGTTTGATAGCTTATTTGACATTTTATTATGTATTTAAACATGGTTAATGAGGGCTATTTTAGCTAGTTTTTTATTTGCCCCAGGTGCCTTGATTTCAAGTTACTATGGCGATGTTTTCTTACCTAATGTTTCTGTTATTCTTAATATTTTTATGCTGCACATTCTGTGAAAATTTCATAAGAAAATATTGAAAAATAAAGAAATTAGAGATATTATGAGAATTTTATGATCAACCCTCGTACATTATCTATAACACCTTAACAAAGGCTTGGTTTGTTTTTATTATTACCTTACTCCTCAGATCCCTAATAAAAAAGCTTTGTGACATATATAAAACATACTATTATCAAAATGATAAACAGTTTATAATATCTAATGAAAAATGAACAAAATTCTAAATAATAAATTTATTTATTTTGCATTCACATTGCACACAGAAATGAAAGAAAAAGAATGAATAAAATTTAGCACTGAAACTGCATCTAAGGGTAGGATACTGGAATGTATAAATATTCTATATTTCCTCATTTTTGACATTTGGGTATTCACATCAAAGTGCTTGCATTGAAGATTGAAATATTCAGTTCATTTGAAGGTAAGTAAATATTACATTATAATTAAAGGCAGAATGAGATTCTATTTAGAGGGCTAAAGAAACCTCCATATATAAGGGTTATGTACTGGAAGGTTTTGGATATAGTGATCTTCCATAGATGTGCATATCTCACAAGGGATAAAACCAATATCCATACTGACTGTACATAACTGCTTTATCCTATACCCAGTGGAGTTTTAAAAAAAAGAAAATTAAAATTCTAAATTATTTCAATTTTTTCTGATGTTTTCTTTACAAAGCATTTTTACACATTATGTGAAGATTTCATGAGAAAATCTCAAAAATCTTTGAAATGAGAGCATTCTCCGTGAATATATTGAACGACCTGGTATATGATATACTCGTAGTTATACAAGGAAAGTTATAGGTGATTTAGAAGAAGTAACTAAAAATTACTCAAAAAATATATAACCTTAGTATACACAGATTATATATTTCTAAAATACATGCACTTTTTTAAATCAACCTAACTTTCAATTTTGTGAAGTTATGGCTACTGCTTGGCCATCACAAGACAACAAAAGAGCAATGTGACTGAGGCTTTATGAAAGAATAAATTGATATTTCAGAAGCCAAATTAATAAAATCAGATCTTTTCTTTAAATGAAGAATATGTTTTACATAGACAACATGAGAATGAAGCTTTTTTTGATGAGTCAAGCAATGGCACATCCACCTTAGATGATACCCTTTTCTTTTTTCAGGTGCAATCTATTCTATTCACCCTACTTTAACTCTTAAAACTATATCTGCGACTGCGTGCATATTATTCTAGAAGTATTTAGTTATTTTAGAAGTATTTGGATTTGTTTCATGCCTTTTCTGGCAAAGAATAGCCTTTTTCTTATAAAAATTGTTCTCTAATTTTTAGGTCCATCATGAGACTTTTCATACTTGTGTCAATATGTGTGGTGACCGTTTCCTTTGCTAAACCAACTAAGTTAAACAACAGAGTCAAAGAAGATGAGGCTAATAAGGTAACTTCATGAAGTATTCTGAATCTAAGACAGATGTATATTGTAAATCTATCTTTTATCTTGTAGAAAAATAATAGTTGATGAGTTAGTTGCTTCTAGTCAACAGCTTTAAGTGATGTAATTTAATAAAGTTATCTTTCATTTTGTCATTCTAGAATGAGGGACTGGCCTTGGGAAAGTTGACCAATGAAGAACGGCAGATGGTTCAGATGGAACGAAACCAAATGAAAGCAGAAGAGGCCAGTAATAAAGCAAAAGGGAAGGCTGGAAAATCAAGCCAAGTTGATGCTGACCAAGCCCTTGAAGAAAACAAGGCTGGAGGCAAAGGGAAAGGAAAAGATGAACAAGCAAGCAAATCAAAAGGTAAAGATAATAAAGGACTGAAACTAGGTCAGTTGAGCAAAGAAGATAAAGAGAGAGTTCTTGAAGAGCATAAAGAGAGGGCAAAAGAAAATAAAGGATTGAAACTGGGTCAGGAAAATAAAGAGAAATTATTTGAAGAACATGAACCAGAGGTAAAAGATAAAGAAAATGAAGGACTGAAACTGGGTCAACTGAGCCAGGAAGATAAAGAGAGAGTTCTTGAAGAACACAAAGAAGAGGCCAAAGGTAAAGAAAATGAAGGATTAAAACTAGGTCAGGAAAATAAAGAGAAAGAACTTGACGAACACAAACCAGAAGTAAAAGGTAAAGAAAATAAAGGACTGAAACTAGGTCAACTGAGCCAGGAAGATAAAGAGAGAGTTATTGAAGAGCACAGAGAAGAGGCCAAAGGTGAAGAAAATAAAGGATTGAAACTAGGTCAATTGAGCCAGGAAGATAAAGAGAGAGTTATTGAAGAACACAAAGAAGAGGCCAAAGGTAAAGAAAATGAAGGACTAAAACTAGGTCAGGAAAATAAAGAGAAAGAACTTGACGAACACAAACCAGAGGTAAAAGGTAAAGAAAATAAAGGACTGAAACTGGGTCAATTGAGCCAAGAAGATAAAGAGAGAGTTATTGAAGAACACAAAGAAGAGGCCAAAGGTAAAGAAAATAAAGGATTGAAACTAGGTCAATTGAGCCAGGAAGATAAAGAGAGAGTCCTTGAAGAACACAAAGAAGAGGCCAAAGGTAAAGAAAATAAAGGATTGAAACTAGGTCAGGAAAATAAAGAGAAAGAGCATGAAGAACATGAACGAGAGGTAAATGATAAAGAAAATAAAGGACTGAAACTAGGTCAATTGAGCAAAGAAGATAAAGAGAGAGTTCTTGAAGAGCACAGAGAAGAGGCCAAAGGTAAAGAAAATAAAGGATTGAAACTAGGTCAATTGAGCCAGGAAGATAAAGAGAGAGTCCTTGAAGAACACAAAGAAGAGGCCAAAGGTAAAGAAAATAATGGACTGAAACTAGGACAATTGAGCCAGGAAGATAAAGAGAGAGTTCTTGAAGAACACAAAGAAGAGGCCAAAGGTAAAGGAAATGAAGGATTAAAACTAGGTCAGGGAAATAAAGAGAAAAAACTTGAAGAACATGAACGAGAGGTAAAAGATAAAGAAAATAAAGGACTGAAACTAGGTCAACTGAGCGAAGAAAATAAAGAGAGAGTTCTTGAAGAACACAAAGAAGAGGCCAAAGGTAAAGAAAATAAAGGATTGAAACTAGGTCAATTGAGCCAGGAAGATAAAGAGAGAGTTATTGAAGAACACAAAGAAGAGGCCAAAGGTAAAGGAAATGAAGGATTAAAACTAGGTCAGGAAAATAAAGAGAAAGAGCATGAAGAACATGAACGAGAGGTAAATGATAAAGAAAATAAAGGACTGAAACTAGGTCAATTGAGCAAAGAAGATAAAGAGAGAGTTCTTGAAGAGCACAGAGAAGAGGCCAAAGGTAAAGAAAATAAAGGATTGAAACTAGGTCAACTGAGCCAGGAAGATAAAGGGAGAGTTCTTGAAGAACACAAAGAGGCCAAAGGTAAAGAAAATAAAGTAAAGGAAAATAAAGAGGATAAAGAGAAAAATCGTGAGGACAACCTACCAGAAGCTAAAATGAAAAAAAGAAGTTTAGACATTGTCGATGAAGACGAGGAACGATTTAAACCAAGAAGACAACCACTTAAAGATGGCAAGGAGAAAGAAAGAAAAACATTGGCAGAACTTGAGGAGAAATTGGCAGAACGTATGGAAGCTCAAAGGTTAAGACAGGAAGAACGCGAGGAAAAAACAGCAGAACTAAAAGAAGATCAAATGTTGAGACAAGAAGAACGCGAGGAGAAAATAGCAGAACTTAGAGAAGAAAAAAGGTTAGGACAAGAAGAACGTGAACAGAAAATGGCAGAACTTAGAGAAGAACAAAGATTGAGACAAGAAGAACGCGAAAAGAAAATTGCAGAACTTAAAGAAGAACAGAGTTTAAGACAAGAAGAACGCAAACAGAAAATTGCAGAACTTAAAGAAGAACAAGGGTTAAGACAAGAAGAACTTGAGGAAAGAATTGCAGAACATAAGGAATTCGAAGCAAGCAAGCCAGATAAAACTCCTGAAGAAATGGAAAAACTCAGAGAAGAACAAAGGCTGAGACAAGAAGAACGCGAAGAGAAAATTGCAGAACTTAGAGAAGAACAAAAATTGAGACAAGAAGAACGCGAAGAGAAAATGGCAAAACTCAGAGAAGAACAAAGGTTGAGACAAGAAGAACGTGAGCAGAAAATGGCAGAACTCAAGGAAGCCAAAATGTTGAGACAAATAGAACGCGAGGAGAAAATGGCAGAACTCAAGGAAGCCAAAATGTTGAGACAAATAGAACGCGAGGAGAAAATTGCAGAACTTAAGGAAGTCAAAAGGTTGAGACAAGAAGAACGTAAGAACACAGGAATAGATTACGCAGGAAAAAATTTGGAATGAATCAAATATGAATTTTGATACATCAATTGAAAGAACTTAGAAATAGAACCAATATATACTAGAGCTATCGAATATAAACCTCGAACATATATAATTTCTAATGTACATCAAATATGAATAAACATGATGTGATTATACTGAAAAAAGCTTATATCATTTTTCAAGGACAAGCAAAGGCAATGACATTTTAATGTCACCATTGTTTTACTGATTTCATATGTATTCAAACACATATTTACTCCACAACATATAACATTCATACAGAATATCAGATAATTTTGATTGATATCATTTTTATCGATAAGTTGATTCATACCAAATATCAACACTAGTGAGCGAAGCAAATGAGTGTTGATATATGAAAAGATATCACAAAAATGATCTGATATTGGGTTAATCCCATAATTACAATCAAAAATTTAAAAAATCTATTTTTATTTGTTTATCATACAGATATGAGACTGATAGATGTAGATGTGGACCCATGTGTAGATATCAGGCACATATGGGGATGCTAGCGATTTTCTGAAAAACATCACACAGATCTCAAGATTTGCAATATTATTGGCTGTTCTTATACAGATAACAAAATGATCTTGATATAAAAGTACATATACACTTGTACATATATCATTCAGGCACATACAGTATACACTTGTACATATATAATTCAGACACATATACACCTGTACATATATCATTCAGGCACATATGCACATGTACATATATCATTCAGGCACATACAGTATACACTTGTACATATATAATTCAGACACATATACACCTGTACATATATCATTCAGGCACATATGGACATGTTTCATTCAGGCACATACACACTTGTACATATATCATTCAGGCACATTTGCACATGTACATATTTCATTCAGACACATATACACCTGTACATATATCATTCAGGCACATATGGACATGTTTCATTCAGGCACATACACACTTGTACATATATCATTCAGGCACATATGCACATGTACATATTTCATTCAGGCACATATATACTTGTACATATTTCATTCAGGCACTTAATTCTACACTTAATTGTATATTTAATTATCCTTACCCAGTTTCAGGGTGTGAATCCTCGTAGATAATCCTTTCTGATTCTTTCTTTTTCTCCAATATGTTATAGACCCACTGAAATAAAAAAAATGCAGTCTTTCATGTTATAGCCTCTTTCTTATAAATAGAGAATATAAAAAGGATGAATGAGACTTAAACAGAAGTCACGAAATCAACTGCAGACGATCAGCTGACGATTTAACTGCTATTTTAAGGCCACTCAATTATGAATTATACCTGGCATGCATATTATTAGCTGCCAGCTATTGAGTCAAACCCAAACGCTGACCTACATAATGGTTTTTTCTGCCTATTTAAGCCGCAACTAACAGTGACAAGCGATCTGTTCGCTATATTTCAAGAAGTGGCTTTTTCACTATCAATTATGTTACAGTGGCATAAAAATTAAAGTAAAAGCTTGATCGATATTTACTTCAAAATGACGAGTTTACTTTATTCAGATTACCTATGAGTTGATCATAAAATAGCAAATTGAATCGTCAGCCAACAGCCGGCAGTTGAATTCGTGAATGCTAGCTTAGTATTAGAATAATATGTGAATTAAGGCTCCAATAAATTAATTATCTGTTTGTATAATTTAAAGAAAATAAAATGCATTATTCTAATCCCATCTCCCCATCATGATAAACCATGATATCTCATTTATTCTCAGCCTTGAGCTGTTTCTAGTGAAACAGAAAGTGGCTATGAGTATCAAAATGTCATCTCGTATGATGCTTTAGACTTTTCCATTTAGAAACGAATTGAAGGAGGCATAATGACAAAATATAACTATGTACATGCTAAATTGACACAAATAGTTGCAAATGTGAAACATATTTTTTGAGACACCAACTGCTGAATGCCAATCTTTGATAACAATGGCAGCTATAACAATATGTCATCACTATAAAGTGAGCATTTAAGTATTAATGCTCAAAAGTTTGGAGAATTTGAAAATATAGATAATGCCAGGGGACAGCAAATCCCACTGAATGTCTTGTAAAGTAAGAAAAGTATATGATAACAGAATGGGTACATACTGTATAAGTGGTATTTAATCCGAGTGGTTAATTTTCCGAATGGTCAAATTTCATCATTTTCCTAATTTTATTTTTCCTAATGACAAGAAACTTCCCATTGGATAACATTATAAAGACAATATTTCCGACATTTAATTTTCCGAACCTGGCAAAAATTAGGAAATAGGAAAATTAAATGATTAGGCAAAATAACCACTTATACAGTATATTGAATCCCCTTAGTACTTTTCAAAAATGCCATATTGGCTGAACCATCACAAAATTAAGTATTGTGCTTCAATGAATATATATTTAAACAGCCACAAAATTGTCACCAAGACACATGCAATCAATGATAATCTTTTTTTCACAAAACATTACTAAAACTAAGTTCTAGGAAATTCCGAAAAAATATGTTGCAACCACAAAAACAGTGAGGTCAATAGAATATTAAAGGAACATTCCTGGCCAGACCATTTCTCTTCTTATATGGTAGCTATAACCATATATATACTTTCCATATTTAGCAAAACAGGGAAAAGTGTTTTATATAGTCAATATTGATCACTTGAAAATAAAGTGCTGAATTCCAGTAGGCTGCCATCTTTTAGTATTTCACTCAGGAAGTGATGTCATCGACTCTCAACTTTGCATATAACATTATAAGGAGCTATTAAGAATTACAAAAACCAGCTGTGCATTCTTTTTCAATTTTGTCTATGATTTAATCCTTCTATAAGTCTCTTCTATTATTCTAAGCTGACAAACTCTGAAAATATTTTTGCACATAAAGTAAGAACCACTTGTCAAGAAGTGATTTTGTGCTACTTCCCTATACTGTTATATGCAAGGTCATGGAAGTTGAGAGTCGATGACATCACTTCCTGAGTAAAATCTTAAAAGATGGCAGCTTACTGGAAATGAGCACTACATTTTTAAATTATCAATATTGACTATATTAAACATTTCCTGGTGTTTTGCTAAATATGGAAAGTATAAATATGATTATAGCTATCACATCAGGATAGAAAAGGTTTGGCCAGGAATGTTCCTTTAAAGAAATACAGCTGAAAAATAATATAACTTTTCACAACAAAGCAGAGAAATAATAGAAATTATAGAAAGCCCATAAATAAACTGAGGAGAAATTATTCACTCTCTTATGTCATAACAATTACGTATTGGTCACGAGTGTGCAATATACAAAACTTAACTAGAAAACAACAACTCCATGGAGTAGGACATCCCACTGAATGAAACGTAACATTGCTGAACCATTCTTCATTTTGAGCATTTTATGACAGAAACAACCAGATGACATTAAGATACCTGTATACTAAAGTTCTCTGCATTTAAATAAGGTAGTGTGATGTCACTGTATAACTCAGGAGTCTCCTGGACCATGTATACAGGCTGCCCAGTATATTTGGCAATGTGCTTTTCTGTGGCAGGATAGATAACAGTTGTCTTTATTTCTGAAATAGAGAAAAAATGAGTGTATAATATGCAAGGAGGGGTGTATGGACGATTTTGACGGTTGTAATAAGTTAAATAAAACATAAAGATTGCTGAAAATTTCCTTGTTATGCCTAATGACCCATAGGATTGGGGATTCAACTGCGTAAAAATAAATTCCTGAGTATTTCAGAATTCTTTTTATTCAGTTGAATCCTCAATCGTATGGTGCCATTGGTACATCTGAGCCTTGCAGCAGAACTGCAAAAGAATCCTAAAATATTTAGCAATGTATTGAGGTAGGTATTTAAGCGTGGGAGACGTGGAATATTCACCCATGTTGAAATCATTAACCTATTACTGAGACGTTCTCGGGACTATAAACCTGCATAAGTTATTACCATTGAACTCGGGTTTGGGATAAACTTCATATGTTCCATAGATGTCATTCTTCAGGGTATTCTTCATGGTTGTATCGCCTGACAGTACACCTCTTATACTCTTCTCACTGAAAGCTGTCTTCTCAACAATAACAACGGCATTGTCTTCAGAATTTTCAAATTTTCCATGTACAAACATTGTTTTCGTTTGAGCATTTTCGTTGAGTATTTTCTCAACTTTGAAGCCTTGTAAGCTCTCCAGGATATCAGATTCATGACTGTTAATGTTGGATTGGTCCATCCTCATTTTCTTTTGAGGAATTTCATCTTTTGTTCCAGAATTTGACATTTTTAAAACTCCCGGAAATGAAATATTAAAAATAGAGAAGTTGAATACTCGTTAGATAAAAGATAAAATTGATTTCCATGTCCTTGTATTTACGCTAATTTAGTGCATATAGGAGAACAGTAATATACATTCAACTTGTTAGGTATGTTTCATAATATGCCATTATGTAATTATCATCTAAAAGCCATATAACTTGTCATTCAATTACTAGGTCAAAGTAGTGACCTACTTAAAAAGTTTTACTTTTGGTTTCACTTTCACTATTTGTTTCAGCTTTTGGTACAACTTCCCACTATCCGTTGAACCTGGGTATGCAATTTGATAGATTGGTATGGGATGGGGACATACTGATGGAACTGGTATCTGAGTGTTAGCCTAAGATTTTCACCAAAGTTTGTATATACAGATACAGTGAACCCCCTGGGAAAAGAAATCAATTTCATATTGACATAAGTCAATGAATATAAAGAGGAGAGGGGTTCAATCTGAAACACAATTAATTTTGTTTTGATGCTCCATAGAAACATTGACCAAGTACATTCCATCACGCACTGTTGTTGTTTGGCTCATGGTAATTTTCCTGTAAACAAGACAGTCACCCCAGTGTTGACTCTTATAATGATTGTGCACACAACATCATTCTAATTTAAGATAACAAGATACTTAAATGAGGTAAAAATTGAATTCTTTATTTACAAAAATCATACAATCAATATATTATTTACAACACTGGCAAGAAATTACAATACATTTCAGCAGCTGATATCTTTACAAAAACTTAACACCTTCATGTACTAGCCTACGTTTGTATTTCTGTTATAAGTCATAAATGGTACACATGTTTTATCATTGCCTTATATGGTACACATACCTTATATGGTACTCATTATTACCATCATTGCCTTATATGGTACTCATTGTTACCATCATTGCCTTATATGGTGAAAATCTTTAATCACTGCCAAAGATGGCACATCTTATATTATTACCTAATGTGGACATGTTTCATCATAATGTTGCCTTATATGGTACACATAGCTTATATAATTATATAATGTCATAAATGTACACATTCATGTTTTATCATTGCCTTATATGGTACACATACCTTACATGTTTTTATTTAATTATATTCAGATATTTGAGCAGTTATATCTTATATGCATCTAATGATATATTTACAAATTTTACATGTTGATATTTATGTGATTGAACATTTGGGAAAACAATTCTAACTGAGCAAATTACTTGAAATGGGATTGAAAACAATTACCAAACCTACAAAATTAGATTTTCCTACAATCTAAGCTGATCAATTATTTTGTTGGGCTTAAAAGCTACAGCAAGAAAGTTTAATTATTGGAAACAACCTGATAAAGCATGCCACTGTTTTTTATAAAGTTGTTTAAGATAACAAAAATGTCTAAATTCATTAAAATTGAGATTACTTCTAAATTACCAAAATCAAAATCGGATGAAATCGAATAATCTGAGCAAGTTCAAATCATCGTTATTGTTCCTCCTTTAATATACCTGATTCTGGGAACTGAATGAAATGATGAGACTAAACTGATCTCATACTTTAACAGTGTACCTCTACTTCCAGTAAAACACAAGTATGAACACATGCTCTAACTATCAGCAATATTACTATCAGTACATGGGATGTGTAGTGAGTTATTCATACATTTTTATATTTTATCTACAACTGTACATTTATGCACAAAAATCCAATTGGTTAATATTTTGATAAAAAATAGATGGCATCCATCTTTTAGTTAATAAAGCACATAAGTCTGACAGGGGCATAGCCGGTTTGACAAAGGTTTGACATGGGGGTTCACCTCTGGAAATTTACAAAATATTTATTTTTCTTTTTTGTTTTGACAACTAGTTTTAACAAGACAGAAAGTTGTAGTGAGAAAATAAAATGTTAATGCATGCATGGTTCTAAAAAATACAAATTACATCTCACACTGTTTATTCATTAGTACATGGTATTTTCAGGGTACTATACTCTTCTATTTAGATAGAATTCTTGAAAGGGTATCCGATTGGTCATTTTTTCATGCCTTGGCTATTAGGCTGGAACCAATTTTCAATGTACATGATTGATGAAAAAGAATTCTATCCAAACAAACTAATCTTATTAGTCAATATTCTAAAGTCAAACCTTGATATTGCAACCACTTTTCTTACACAATTTACAAACTATGATGTCACAATAAAACATTTTTCTTTTAATTGTAAGTCCAGTTAGTCCATTGCAGCTGGTCTTAATGTTTACGTATCGCTGAATTTTTGTTTTTTCTCAAGCCTGCTTAGCAGTCCTAAAGATGTCGCCACAGTGTTGATAATATTGTTGCTATAGTGATGATGATGCTTGATGGATGGAATATAGTACTTGATGAAACTGAAATACAAAAATATGTAATGCAGTTAAAACGAACTTCTGAAATGAATGTTCAGAGTTGGCACTTGGTTGGTTGATTGTGAACAATTAACAAACAAACAAACAAATAGAAAATACAAAAGAAGATAAGATTTAAAGATTTTAATTCAAACTGAACTAAATAATTACGATCCATCAAAATATTTCATAGACAGCTGTAAGGAATACACTTGTAGAAAAGTATGGAAAATGCTAAATTATTGCAAACAACAGTACATTTATATCTGTATTGTATGTGGAAAATTTCCCGATATTTTCTTTATGAATTTTCATTAAAAATAATAATCTGAGATGGAATATATCATCTAATTATTGCCATTACTGTACTTCCTCTATTTTTTCGCAAGCTATTTCGCACAAACTTATGATACAGTCAGTACTATAATTCTGGGGCAATAAATCTGCTTGCATAAAATTCAGAGTGTGCAATTCTACTGTGAGCACATTCAAGGGGATTCCTGCATGTCAGGATCCAAAATGATCCTCTTCATGACATTGAGTAGCCCTGAGCACTACACTGTACATTACTGAACCATTGTTTGTGCCATTAGGTGATATTTCACTGAACATTACTGAACCATTCCTTGTGCCATGGGGTGATATTTTCAAAACTTCATGGGCTTGAGGGTACATTAAGGCTACAAAGCATGAGGATGTAGAGAAAGGTGAAATTTCAACTTGTGAAATCCCCGAAACTTAATAGTAGCAACTGTGATTTTTCAAAATTCGCGAAAATTAATAGCGCCGAAACATACCAGGAGTACAGTATTTCAATCTATATTTATAGTGGATCAACTCAATCTTACCCATTGAGAAAGTAATTTCTGGCCAACTCTTGGCCCCATCCCCTCCCCTACTGTAGCCTAATACACGCAGTATGTATATGACCTCTGGCTCCAGCTTGTGTATGCGAACCATAGTGTTTCTCCCTGCGTCAGCCTCCATTGCGTTCTTCATGGTCTCCCCCTGTTTCCAGTACACTACCTGAAATAAGTTAAAGAAATTGTTATGATTGCATTCTTTATGGTCTACCCCTACACTACCTAAAATATGTAAAGAAATTGTTATGATTGCATAACTTCATGGTTTTCCCCTTCACAACCTAAAATAAGTAAAGAAATTGTTATGATTGCATTACTTCATGGTTTTTCCCTGTTTCCAGTACACTACCTGAAATACATGTAGAAATTGTTCTGACAAATGACAATTGTTATTCGGGAGGCCAATTAGTATTAAATTTGATATACAATATATAGTACTGGGGTGGTAACAGAATTGTTCAAGGGTGACAAACTGTCTCAAACTTGTGTTCTTCAGTATCTGCAATGTGGGGGTGACAATACAGGCTCCTAAAGGGGCCTGCAGTGAGTGAAGTATTATTGAAATGAGAGATAGGTATGTATAAAAACTTTATTGTATTGTATTGTATATTAATATTGGGGATCCTAAATGGGGCCTGCAGAGAGTGAAGTATTATTCAACTGCATGTATAAATACCTTATATCCTTGTAAAGGTTCCTGTGTCTGGTCAGTAATGACTCCTCTCCATATCACCTCAATAGATGTAGTAGTCAGGGTTATAACATTCACTTCTTCAGGAGCATTCACAGGGGCTGAATATAAATATAATAACAAAAACCTTATTCATGTTATCCAAATATGTTCTTGTTTTTTTTAATTTGTTATTGTTAATTGGGTGAAAATGGGTTTCATATAGTATTTTCTTTTGTAAAGGTGGAACACTAAACAGATTTTGCTGTTATTTAAAGTCCCCGTCTAGAGTTTGAAAATATTTTTTTTATCATTTATTTACTATTTGTCAGGATTGAACAAAAGACACACTATTTCAATAATCAAATGTCATATTTAATGGGCCACTTCAATGTTTTAGCATATCAAAAATATTTTGAAACATTAGTGATGTCACTAAGGTAACAAAAACTTTTTGAAAAAAAATGAATTTTTTTTTTCGATGTCAATCTTTTCTAAATATGCTAGACTTTCATACAAGGCATTAACATGACAAAATGTCACCACCTAAAACAATTTGGTCAATTTAAAGCAAGTTGGAAAATACCTTTTGACCTTGAGAAGGTCATTGAGGGTCAAAGGTCAAATCTAAAGTCAGATTTGAACTTCTGAGAACTTGTAAAGTCAAATTTGAACTTCTGAAAAGATGTAGATGATTTTGAAAAAAAAATTTGGTCAATTTGAAGCAAGTTGAAAACAGACCTTTTTGACCTTTTTTGAACTTGAGAAGGTCATTAAAGGTCAAATGTCAAATCTAAAGTCAGATTTGAATTTCTGAGAACATGTAGATGATTTTGAAAAAAAAAAAAATTAGTCAATTTGAAGCAAGTTGAAAAAAGACCTTTTTGACCTTTTTTGACCTTGAGAAGGTCATTGAAGGTCAAATGTCAAATCTAAAGTCATATTTGAATTTCTGAGAACATGTAGATGATTTTGAAAAAAAAATTTAGTCAATTTGAAGCAAGATGAAAAAAGACCTTTTTGACCTTTTTTGACATTGAGAAGGTCATTGAAGGTCAAATGTCAAATCTAAAGTCAGATTTGAATTTCTGAGAACATGTAGATGATTTTGAAAAAAAATTTAGTCAATTTGAAGCAAGTTGAAAAAAGACCTTTTTGACCTTTTTTGACTTTGAGAAGGTCATTGAAGGTCAAATGTCAAATCTAAAGTCAGATTTGAATTTCTGAGAACATGTAGATGATTTTGAAAAAAAAATTTAGTCAATTTGAAGCAAGTTGAAAAAAGACCTTTTTGACCTTTTTTGACTTTGAGAAGGTCATTGAAGGTCAAATGTCAAATCTAAAGTCAGATTTGAATTTAGTCAATTTGAAGCAAGTTGAAAAAAGACCTTTTTGACTTTGAGAAGGTCATTGAAGGTCAAATGTCAAATCTAAAGTCAGATTTGAATTTCTGAGAACATGTAGATGATTTTGAAAATTTTTTTTAGTCAATTTGAAGCAAGTTGAAAAAAGACCTTTTTGACCTTTTTTGACTTTGAGAAGGTCATTGAAGGTCAAATGTCAAATCTTAAGTCAAATCTTAAGTCAGATTTGAATTTCTGAGAACACGTAGATTATTTTGAAAATTTTTTTTAGTCAATTTGAAGAAGGGTTGAAAACAGACCTTTTTGACCTTTTTGACCTTGAGAAGGTCATTGAAGGTCAAATGTCAAATCTTAAGTCAGATTTGAATTTCTGAGAACACGTAGATGATTTTGAAAAAAAAATTTAGTCAATTTGAAGCAAGTTGAAAACAGACCTTTTTGACCTTGAGAAGGTCATTGAAGGTCAAATGTCAAATCTAAAGTCAGATTTGAAGGTCAAATGTCAAATCTAAAGTCAAATCTAAAGTCAGATTTGAATTTCTGAGAACATGTAGATGATTTTGAAAAAAAATTTAGTCAATGTGAAGCAAGTTGAAAAAAGACCTTTTTGACCTTGAGAAGGTCATTGAAGGTCAAATGTCAAATCTAAAGTCTGATTTGAACTTCTGAGAACATGTAGATGATTTAGAAAAAAATCGAAGTCAGTCTAAACAGTATTTGTTAAGTTATAGGAAGTTGTAAGAAATTGTTACAGACGCCGGACGCCGGACGCCAACCTCCAACCACCAACCTCCAACCACCAACCGCCGTCGCGAAAAAACTGAGACCATAACAATATGTCACCACTTTTGGTGGTGACATAAAAAAACCAATGTTGATTGTCTAACCAGGTTAAAAGGAAGAATAAATTATGTTTTAGATATCATTGTACCATTGGTTTCTATGAGAACTAAAATTTTGAAATGCATTTTTCTCAGAACCATTTTCATGCACTGATAAGTTCATTTCTCGCTTGTTTATCAACCGATTTTCTTAATTTTTTCGGCAAAAAACATGGGAGGATGTATGCTATGCATTGGTATGAATTGTGGCTAATTAGAAGATATTAATGACCTCTAAAAGTTGGTTTTAAATAAATTCACAAATTTTGGAACAAAAAGTCTATCAAAAAACACTTTTTGAAATTAAAAAAAAAGTTTCACATATCACACTTTGATAACATTGGGTAAGACTACAATATAAGCCAAAGTGGTTTAAACTTTACATGGGGCCTTTAAAGGAGAAACTGATACTAATTTTACCTATAATATAGCTCTCATGAATAATTAAAATCACTCATGAACAACAATCTAATCATAAAATGGTGTTCAACACTTTATACCAAATAGCCATTTGGATATAAATGTGCAATCGGGAAACAGTACAAATATTAGTTGCGGTAATGCTAACAATTCATTAAGTATCGGGAATTCCAGCAAGATGGAAAATATAACATTCAACCAAAGTTCAGTCACATTCATTAACAATGATGAAAATATTAGCTTAAATGTCACAAATATTTCACAGTCAAAAAACACAACCAATAGCGATGAGGACAACTGGTTGAAAGTCTTTCAATTTGTACTGGACAAAGTGTTATCATATATTGTAATAGGACTTGGACTTGTTGGGAATACATTGGCATTCTTGGTGCTTTCAAAGGAGAAAGTTTTGAACACAAGAGTATTTCTTCTAAAGACACTAGCCATAACAGAATCAACATTTCTGTTACTGATGCTTCCTTTAGTAATGCTCTATAATCACCAGAAAGAGTTTATAAAGTTGGGAGCTGTTGATGACCACATTGCCACATTTCTATATAATGTACAGCTACCAATTGTTTCAATAGCATCTACTCTCACATTTTGGATGGTTGTCTTAGTAACCGTTGACAGGTACATACATATAACAAACCCACTCCGTGCAACGACATTGCTAACCGTCAAAAGAATGAAATGGACGGTTGGATGCCTTATAGTTGGAGCATGTCTCTACAATATACCAAGATTCTTTGAAAGGTCTGGTGCTATTTGCTTATTACATTGTAATCCAAGCTATCGCATTATATATCATGTGATTTTAAATGCAGTTTTTAGATCCTGTGGACCTGTTGTAACAGTTTTTATCCTTAATGTAAGGCTAGTTCAGTCCATCTTAAGCTCTCAATCTAAACGTAAGGAACTGACTAACAAAGAAATTGAGGAAAGAAATCATGTCATTACCATGATTGCAATCGTGTCATTATTTATTATATGTTCAATAACCCATATTATAACCAACATAATGATGATGCTGATTTACAACCATGTCATTCCATTCCCCAATTTTTACTCTTTATTGGTGTCATTCTCAAATTTTTTTCTCATGTGTAATTCAGCGTTTAATTTTGTAATATACTTCATGATAGGAAAATCCTTTAGGAAAAGGTTAAAACAATTAATTATGAGGAAAAGAACAACAGGTCTAGAATAACAAATTATTAACATTTATTATTACCACCTTGCCGGGCCAGTTCTAGGGGTTTTAGTGCTAGTTTAGAAGGCATTTATTTTACTATATCGACCTGAGAAATGTGTGACGTCATAGCGGTGGCCCATATGGACCGTTCTAGAATATATTCCGGACCGGCAAATTTTCCCCGGTAAATTAGATATCGTTCAGTGCATAAGATTTTCTTGCTTTTTCAGCCCTGGTCGTTAACGGTGGTAATAATACTAATAATAACGTCATTTCTGCGAGCAATATAGTGAAATATAGGACCTTGGGCCTTCAGCCCTCGGTCCAATATTTCACTATATTGCCCTTAGAAATGACGTTATTGTACTATTGTACTTGTATATGAAATACCATTATAGGCTGACCTTTCCTCATAACGCACTATTTAGACATATATTATTTTTACATTTTCAAACAACTGAGAAAATTATCAGGCTAATGCTTTATAAAGTTTTTTTCTGCAAAATATCAAAGCACAGCCATTGAGTAAAAAAAAGGAGCACGATGCTGGATTCAAACAACAGTCGACAGGCATTTTCAAAAATATGCAAGTTTATTATACAGATTTGCAAGATTATCATGGATTTTAAAAATATACAAGATTATTATGCAGTTTGAAAATGTGCAAGTCTATTATGCAGATTCGCAAGATTATCATGGATTTTAAAATATATAAGAGTACAAGACTACAGTATTATTCACAACTCGACTCACAAGACTGTATTGTGCGGTTTGAAAATATACATGACTTATATGCAGATTCGCAAGATTACTGTACATTTTGAAAATATACATGACTAATGGAGATTCGCAAGATTATTGTGCCATTAAGAATATGCAAGTCTATTATGCAGATTCGCAAGACCATTGTGCCAAGTCTATTATGCAAATTCGCAAGATTTTCATGCAGTTAGAAAATATGTATATAGTCTATATGCTTTGATATATTTCATTAAAGTCTATTTTAATATGTTTTTCTGATGTTTTGTGCAAGGTAATAAAATTGTATCAAATGTACATTTTGAACAGATTAATGTTTGAAATAACTACATGTACTTTTAATTTCAATAAAGGCATATAAATTATAACCGATGAAACAGATAAAATTGTTATTAATCATTCCTCAATTCCTATTTCAAGCAGATCAAACACATCTTCAGATCATTGCCAACTATTCGTTGAACTGTTCCATACCCCATGTTGTATACTCATCAAACTTTATTCATTGGAATAAATAGAACTAGCATCTTACCACTTCTTAAAGTCCTCTGGGGAAAGTCTTCACTCTTTGGGCTGTTCCCTGCGGAATTAAATGCCATCACATTGACAACGTAGAAAGTATTAGGGTTAAGTCCTATAATAAAACCACTGTCAACCTTCCCATTTACAGTCTGTCTGATACCCAACTCTTCTGTCTCGATGTCCCTCTTCCAGTATGTAATCTGTAAAATCAGAATGATTTAACAATATTATGTCAAAAATAATTGAATCCTTGTCAAAAGTTTTTGTTTACAATTTACATAAATGGCACCCTTATTTACCAGATCCCTTCTTATTTACACCCTAAGAAAGTCCCAATAAGGTAACTCAGTGATCTCCCTAGCAGGCTTGCACCTACATGTATCTGAAAATCCATTTGCACCCACTTAAAAATGAGAATAATCATGAAAATTGACATATGACCAATTTCTGTCAGAATTGTGAAAATGAGAACTTTGCACCCACCTGAGAAAAAATCCTGGGGAGAACATTGTAACTACCTGTATCTCAACACGTCGGGGGGGGGGGGTGAGGCAATAGGTACAAGTAAAGATTAACATGGCAGGTATATTAGAAAGTTCCCTTAAACTTGAATATTCATCAGTTCTAGTGTAGGCTAAGTGGACCAATTTTCATGATATTTATACAAATGAAAAAATGTCCAGTATAGGAAAACATTATCTGTCCAATAAAAGGTATTTCACTTTTTGTGATTTTATAACATGGGGTGTATGGGGATTCTCTCTGACGTAATAGTCACATTTTCAGAGAAAATTAAGTTTTCAAAGTTGATAAACAATTTTTGATTTTGCATGTAGATTTCAAACATGATATCACTTTGACTGAATTTTGAATATTTAATGATGTAAATCAAGATTATTTCTATTCCCATCTAGTCTATTTATATCGAATCACAGATCTTTTGGGAGATGTTGTATTTGATATTATAAGAAATAGTTTGGTAGTGCAATTGTACATGTTGCTTGCACACTGTTCCACAACTGGAAGACTCTAACTGCAGTTAGCTTCATTCAAGATGGTTGCCGAAATTCTTTGTTTTTGACAAACATCCGAAATCAAAAGTTTAGCCATGCAAACTGATGAAATAAAAAAAAACAAATCGAAAGAAATTTGGCAACCATCTTGAATGAAGCTAGCTGCAGTTAAGAGTCATCCAGCAGTGTTGCAATTGTGTCACGATCACCCCAATAGATCTGATTCTTTTACAAGCTATTACAGGTACTGAAATTCCGATATTCATTCTAGTTTATGGAAAAATATCATTACCAGGCTCATAAAAGCAGTTATTAACAAATTGCTTCATGCAATTGGTTTTAGTTTTATTTCCCAAATGAATCATATACTACATTTATTTTCTGACAAATAATTAGAGAGAGTGTTGATTACAGGTGTATGTTTATTGTTTATTCTATTCCTTGCATGGTGACTCCACAAAATCACATTTGTATTTCAAAAGATGATAATGACTATGCGACTAGCATCATGTTATTTCACAGGTATTTAAGATCAAAAGTGAATTTTGGAGCAAATGTTATGTAACTTTCCTGTAACATTCCTGTTTGATGAGCTAGTCTGTAACAAAATTCATGGGACATTGAGTAATGGATTTGTGTTTTTAATCAACCCCCAAAGTAATGAATTTGTGCTTTTAATCAACCCCCAAAAGTAATGGATTTGTGTTTTTAATCAACTCCCAAAGTAATGGATTTGTGCTTTTAATCAACCCCTGAAAGTAATTCTACTTGGGTAATAAACCGTGGAATTAATTATTCCAATCTTTTCATGGGTAAAGCCAGGATATAAAATCAAAAGGCATATAACATAGAATGATAATGTAATACTACCATAAGACATCATTTTCACATTTCAATTGAGAAAATATCTGCATTAATATTTTTCTATTAAATGTTGGCAAGGCAGGAGCTTACCTTGTATTCATATAAAGGCCCCTTGGTTGTATTTCAAGCCTGACTTTGCCCATGCTTACCCTGTATTCATATAAACACCCCCTGGCTGTATTTCAAGCCTGACTTTGCCCACGCTTACCCTGTATTCATATAAACACCCCCTGGTAGTATTTCAAGCCTGACTTTGCCCATGCTTACCCTGTATTCATATAAACGTGCTCTGGTTGTATTTCAAGCCTGACTTTGCCCATACTTACCCTGTATTCAGATAAAAGCCGCTGGTCGTATTTCATGCCACACTAGTCCATACTTACCCTGTATTCATATAAACGCCCCCTGGCTGTATTTCAAGCCTGACTTTAACCATGCTTACCCTGTATTCATATAAACGCCCCCTGGTTGCATTTCAAGCCTGACTTTGCCAATGCTTACTCTGTATTCATATAAACACCGCCTGGCTGTATTTCAAACCTGACTTTGCCCATGCTTACCCTGTATTCATATAAATGCCCCCTGGTTGTATTTCATGTCTGACTTTGCCCATGCTTACCCTGTATTCATATAAACGCCCCCTAGTTGCATTTCAAGCCTGACTTTGCCAATGCTTACTCTGTATTCATATAAACACCGCCTGGCTGTATTTCAAACCTGACTTTGCCCATGCTTACCCTGTATTCATATAAATGCCCCCTGGTTGTATTTCAAGCCTGACTTTACCCATGCTTACCCTGTATTCATATAAACGTGCTCTGGTTGTATTTCAAGCCTGACTTTGCCCATACTTACCCTGTATTCAGATAAAAGCCGCTGGTCGTATTTCATGCCACACTATGTCCATACTTACCCTGTATTCATATAAATGCCCCCTGGTTGTATTTCAAGCCTGACTTTGCCCATGCTTACCCTGTGTTCATATAAATGCCCCCTGGTAGTATTTCAAGCCTGACTTTGCCCATGCTTACCCTGTATTCATATAAACGTGCTCTGGTTGTATTTCAAGCCTGACTTTGCGCATACTTACCCTGTATTCAGATAAAAGCCGCTGGTCGTATTTCATGCCACACTATGTCCATGCTTACCCTGTATTCATATAAATGCCCCCTGGTTGTATTTCAAGCCTGACTTTGCCCATGCTTACCCTGTATTCATATAAACGTGCTCAGGTTGTATTTTAAGCCTGACTTTGCCCATACTTACCCTGTATTCAGATAAAAGCCGCTGGTCGTATTTCATGCCACACTATGTCCATACTTACCCTGTATTCATATAAATGCCCCCTGGTAGTATTTCAAGCCTGACTTTGCCCATGCTTAACCTGTATTCATATAAAAGCCCCCTGGTTGTATTTCATGTCTGACTTTGCCCATACTTACCCTGTATTCATATAAATGCCCCCTGGTAGTATTTCAAGCCTGACTTTGCCCATGCTTACCCTGTATTCATATAAACGTGCTCTGGTTGTATTTCAAGCCTGACTTTGCCCATACTTACCCTGTATTCATATAAATGCCCCCTGGTTGTATTTCAAGCCTGACTTTGCCCATGCTTACCCTGTATTCATATAAATGCCCCCTGGTTGTATTTCATGCCTGACTTTGCCCACGCTTACCCTGTATCCATATAAAAAAAACCTGGCTGTATTTCAAGTCTGACTTTGCCCACGCTTACTCTGTATTCATATAAATGCCCCTTGGTTGTATTTCAAGCCTGACTTTGCCCACGCTTACCCTGTATTCATATAAACACCCCATGGCTGTATTTCAAGCCTGACTTTGCCCATGCTTACCCTGTATTCATATAAATGCCCCTTGGTTGTATTTCAAGCCTGACTTTGCCCATGCTTACCCTGTATTCATATAAAAGCTGCTGGTCGTATTTCATGCCACACTATGTCCATACTTACCCTGTATTCATATAAACACCCCCTGGTTGTATTTCATGTCTGACTTTGCCTATGCTTACCCTGTGTTCACATAAAAGCCCGACTTTGCCCATACTTACCCTGTATTCAGATAAAAGCCGCTGGTCGTATTTCATGCCACACTATGTCCATACTTACCCTGTATTCATATAAATGCCCCCTGGTAGTATTTCAAGCCACACTAGTCCATACTTACCCTGTATTCATATAAACGCCCCCTGGTTGTATCTCAAGCCTGACTTTGCCCACGCTTACCCTGTATTCATATAAACGCCCCCTGGCTGTATTTCAAGCCTGACTTTGACCATGCTTACCCTGTATTCATATAAAAGCCCCCTGGTTGTATTTCTTGTCTGACTTTGCCCATGCTTACCCTGTGTTCATATAAAAGCCCCCTGGTTGTATTTCATGTCTGACTTTGCCCATGCTTACCCTGTGTTCATATAAAAGCCCCCTGGTTGCATTTCATGTCTGACTTTGCCCATGCTTACCCTGTATTCATATAAAAGCCCCCTGGTTGTATTTCATGTCTGACTTTGCCCATGCTTACCCTGTGTTCATATAAAAGCCCCCTGGTTGCATTTCAAGCCTGACTTTACCCATGCTTACCCTGTATTCATATAAATGTGCTCTGGTTGTATTTTATGTCTGACTTTGCCCATACTTACCCTGTATTCAGATAAAAGCCGCTGGTCGTATTTCATGCCACACTATGTCCATACTTACCCTGTATTCATATAAAAGCCCCCTGGTTGTATTTCAAGCCTGACTTTGCCCACGCTTACCCTGTGTTTATATAAAAGCCCCCTTGTTGCATGTCCAATTATGCCCATGCTTACCCTGTATCCATATAAAAGGCCCCTTGTTGTCTCTCTGCCTTCCTCTATTTTATCCCAAGAGACTAGCAATGCTGTAGCATTGTACTGCTGGGCTCTCACATTGGTTGGCTGTCTCAGAGGAACTGAAAAAGGAAATACAATATTAATGGCACAAACGTACTAATTTCAACAAATCATTTCAAAACAATGTAGCATTGTACTTTGTAATTACATTGCACCTAACATTGGCTAGCTGCCTCATGAGAATGGAAAGCAAAAACTAATTTTACAATATATGCAATAATCTCATTATTTTCTACGGAATAAATTAGTAACAGTTTTACCATTGATCTAATGCACCATGAAACCCTTATGAACAAACCCATTAAAACTTTTACGGCATTTCATTGAAGTATTAATAATATAATGGAGGTCACCAACGAATAGGTTTGAAAAAATGAGTAAATGAAGGACTGTTACAACCGAAGATCGACTTACTATTCTCTGCACTCATGATCGTCTTGATTTCAGATGTAGGGCCAAGTCCTACATTGTTCATGGTTTGGACCATAACTTCATAAGGTTTCCAGAAATTGTCCTCACCAACAGTATACACATACTGACTGTGTTGCCCGCCGATTAGCTCTCGCTGAAATGAATTGAATATGGGTTCAAGAAAAAAAACCATCTGAAAAGATGTATGAAAACAAAAATAAAAACTTTCTAATCTGAACACAACTGTGGTCAGCAAAATTCATTTTGGTGATACCTTTGCTATTAGATCTTTAAGTTAATACCAATATTTCAAACACATATTTTTTTTTTCATTATATATTTATTTCTTCATTATATATTTGTTTTATACTACATTGATTTATTTTGGCGATACCTTTGCTATTAGATCTTTAAGATTAGCAGGTGTATACATTTCTTAATATGTCAGAATAAACTGGAGAATATAAAATTGGGACCCAGTATTTGTATTTTGATCTACTGGTTTCACTGCATTAAACTTAGTTCACGAACAAAACCTAGACCAGTATGAAATAACACATCCTCCAGATGCAGGGATTCAGTCGAAATCCACTCTGAATGATGAGTGGATGTCTGGAACCCTGCCTTTGGAGAATGCAAACAACAGGACATTAGGAGATTTTAACAAGGCATTAACACACAAAATATCACCACTTGCCATTTGTTACAGACTCCAAATGCTGAATGCCGGACACAAACCGCCAAACACTGTCCACACACAAAAAAGTTAGAATTACTATGACATTATGTTACCACTTGTGGTGGTTATTTGAAAATCATAATACAGTGAAACCTGTACAGTTGAACACATGCAGAAGTGGAACACATCTGTTAGTGGAACGCTTTTCAGCATCCCAAGACCAACTAACTTAATGTTAAATGAACCTCTACAAGTGGAATATCTCCCAAGTGGAACAGTTTGTAGAGAGGTTTTACTTTAAGTCAACAGCTATATTTTTTGTGTTTTACCTTGATCCAATCTTTGTCCGACTGTCCAGGTTCTCTCCATTGCACAATATAACCAAACCCTTGGCCATTGTGGAAGACTTCAGGTACAGACTAGGGTAAAGAATATAAAAAATGAGAGTAACTAGTATGCCACTAGACATATAAAAATTGTAATATCTTCACCATATTTAATGATACATACATCTTATACTAAAGTGTTAATATTAGCAGGGTTGGCCAAAAAGTTTTCCATTGAGGGAATTTCTCTCTTGAGGAAATTTCTCCTTTGAGATCCCTACATAGATGAAATAGTTATTAAAGCAGCAACAAGGACTGCCGAGTTGTATCCAGTGATCCTGGGCCTAGCTATTTCCAGGTCTAAATTTGAAAACTTTTATAAATGGGGATTGTATAAAATTAGGACTTCTAAACGATTTGTCAGTTCTACTAGTTGCAGAATTTGGCCACATCCATACATTTTTATAAAATAGGAATAAGGAAGAAGATGTTTACCATACGCCGCCCTGATAGCTCAGAAAAGGTAATATTTGTCCATTTTTCTCTAAATGGTCCTTGTTACCTCTTTAACTATTAACTTAAGTCCCTAACAGATGCTAGTCTCTCTCCAGTAAAAAAGCTAATATGTTTGTGTACTTACATCCCAAGTGATGGTGAGATCTCCCACTTTGCCCCCACCCCCTCCTACATTGCCCGCTGGGACAGTTGGCACAGCCTCATTGGTTGTGTACTCCGCTAGAATTAATATACATATTGGTAAGTTCTCATGTACATTTAAGAATGTGACTGAACACAGTCCAAAACATATAATAACACATTCCAATATTTTAGTTGAAATTTCAGATATCAAAAATATGATTGGAGCATATAATTATATGCATCCTTCAAATGTTTACCTGAGACCCCAAAATGCCCTAATGTGGAGAGGGTCCATAATTCAACACACATTATTGTTTCAGGGGGTGAAACTTTGACACCATACTTCTTCGCACAAGAAATATGGAATTCTGATATGAATTTTGACTTTTGATAAGCTGTTATTGCTACCAGGATGGGTAACTTGCCTAAATCAACTGCTCCCAGGATAGGGAATCTGACGGCCCGATTTTTATTTTGTCAAAATCCCCACCCCTTCCCATGTTGGAGGTCTCAAGTAAACCTTTGAATGCTGGCAGTACATGTATATATGTGAACAGATGAAGGGAAATAGCACTAAATACAGACAGAATAGACATGCATTAATAGGTTTTTAAGCGCCCAATTTTTTATAAAACATATGCTTTTAAGCTTGGAGTTAATAGTCTATTTTGTTGACTTACGTGATGGAACACTGGAGGGACCAGTTCCAAGGTCATTCTCAGCTCGAACCCTGAATCTATATGAACTCCATGGAGAGAGGTTAGTTAAATATGTATAGGGTCGCTCTGTATTAGATCCTATTCCCAGTGGTTTAATATCTGCAATAAATAAATATATTTATAAATTGTCTAACAATGTACATGTACAACAGTTACAGTGAATAATGAATAAATAGTCATGAAAGAAAAACAAGATAAAAAGAGAAACAATTAAAATGCAGGAGATGCAGAAATGGAGTGCAATAATGCGTCTATTTTATATTGTGTATTTTGTCCTAATATGGAGTTTTTGACTTCCACACAATGCTTTTTCAAACAAAAAATTATACCTGTTATCATATGTAGTAATGTACATAAAATGGTGTTACTGATTAACAAACGAGGCATTAACACACAAAATGTCACCACTGGCCATTGGTTACAGACACCAAACACCGACTGCCGAATGCTGAACACTAACCGCCAATGCCACAAAAATGTTGGAGACTAACAATATGTCACCACTTCTGGTGGTGATACAAAAAACGAATGTGTTCTGAAAATATTAAGTGGTTCATCCTGGCATTCACGAAACACATACTTGTCTTCATGACAGCCCAGTAGCCAATGTGGCGATTAAAGCCTTCCATGACGTAGGTGGTTACAGGACGCCCAAATCCAGCACCAGGTTGCCATCGTAATCTCATGCTTGTGTTGGTTATCTGATCACCATAGAGACCACCAGGCTCACCAGGGGGACCTACAATAACAAGTTACAATAAACATTAATATATCACAGTTATATTCGTCACTCTCTGATTGGTCTATGTCCTACAACTGACTAAAGATGCGATGTTCAATGACTGCGCATGTGATTGGTGAATGGTATTTATCAGTCACAACCTAGTTCAGTGTAATTTTAATTCTATATATCTCCAGGACTACATTGCTATTGATGCCTAACAGAAAATAATAAAAGAAATATTTCATTCTATTTTCGATGAATACCTGTGGCACTTTCACAAGATAATATTCCACTAACCCTTCAGGCGTGGACTATGGCTTGTGAGAGATGCAAAGGTATTCACCAAAAATAAAATAGAATATTTGTCTCCTCTTGCATTGATAAATTTTTTTAGTTGAACAGGTATGCGATTTTCCTGGAACTTTTATTGACAGGGTTTACGTGGCAACCATCCACCCAGACAACAAACAGACACATGCACCCCATCATCACAACATAATAACGACAGTCTGTACAATGAACTGTGTCACATACCTACAACAACAACATCAGCACTGCTCCCTTTCATATCCACCTGTGTCTCTACATAACATGTGTACTGTCCCTCATGCCATAACTGAGCATTAACCAGGTACAGGTAGCCTACTGAATTCCAAGTCTCACCCTAATCACAAAAATAGAGATAGTCTACATGTATTTAACATCAATGTGACACTAAAATGACAATATTTGATTGTTTTTTTTATACCAATCTTAGGAATACAAAAGAAAACATTTTCTTAAAACATGAATTGTTAACGTTATTATGAACATATGCTCCCAATTAAATGATCTTTTCCACAAAGAAGTGGCATCCATAGGGAGCATACCGATACAGGTTAAAAGGAGCCATTATTCTTAGAGAATCTTCCTAACTAGACCAATACTAGAGATAAATCTAGAAAATGAAAACACAAAGTATAGACATACCCTTGCAAAATATTCATTAACGATGTAATTCCCAGGAGAAATCTCCTTATAGAAGTCGATCTTGCGATTGTTGTGCTTCCATATATAGGTATAGTCAAGAACAGGGTTGACACTCGCTTGGCACATCAGCACAAGAGTTCTGTTGACACGAACTGTCGCTCCAATAGGACCCCTTGCAATTGTTGTGGAAGCTAAAAAACATATCATATTTGAAATGACATTACACAGGGTGCGAACCTGGCCAAAAATTCTTTCATAATCATGCAGTTTTTCAACATTCTGAGTTCTTTTCTAGTGATTTTGGCCATTCTTGGGCCAAAATTGTCAAATGTGAACCCCCTTGGATTTTTTTGAAAAGTGAACCCTTAGCAAAACCTGGTTTTACTGTGCATGTATATGATGCAGTTTAGGATGTATTTAATGTGAGACTTTTGCTACTTTGCAAATAGATATAGTCCACATTTGACAATTTTATCCCAAAATCAATTGAATGGTGAAAAACTGCATAATTTTGAAAGAATATTTGGCTACAGGGGGGGGGTGGCTAGGGACCTAGTTCTGACTTAATTTCAGGATAAAGCCCTCTCCAAATGTAGTAAAATCAACCACTTGAAAGGGTAACAATACCATTTAATAATCCCAGATCATTGTAAATATTAATATCACAATAAAAAGCAAAAAATCATTAAAATTAACATATGAAAACAATAAAAGTGTTGTAAAATCATAATGAGCTTAGGTCTTTCAGCGGGTTCATGTTGCGGTTTGAGGTCGTGTTTTGCAAACAAAACGGTTTTTGTAATCTCAGTTATTTATCATGCATAATTGACAATATTGAGCATCTGTCAAAAGAACCTTGCAATAATATATCGATATAATAAATGACATAAAAATCTCTATAAAGAGCAGGTAGATTTGCGATCTCTCTTATTTTATACAATACATTAAGAGTATATCAGACACTGGTATGCACGTTTTGCATAACACAAGGAAATTAATTTATATTAATGAATTATTTTATAATATTTAAAGGGCAATATCAATAAAACTAATAACACAATAAAACCTTTTTATTATTTTGCAAAAATCAATGTTTGAAAAAAATATCTCAAATCAAATTATAATTCAAATAATTTCAATTGTGCCCATAAAGCATTTTTGATTCAAATACAATATGCTACACATCACTGTTTCGATTCCTTTCACAGAATTTAATAATTTATGATATGTAAATATCCCTGGTTTTACTGTATGGACGTATATTAACCACAAAGCTGTGCAAAAAGCAAATATTTGTTCGATCAATGTGCTCTCATTATGCACGAATTACTACAATGAAAACAGTTTTTTTTCTCATTAACATTTCAATGCAACGAAGTGTTGTAAAATCATAATGAGCAAAGGTCTTTCAGAAAGATCAGATTGTGGTTATAGGTCATAATTTGAACAAACAAAAGAAAATAGAAATTCGATATTGTCATTTGCCCTTATAATCACTAGGTTCTGAGTTTGATCGAAATCAAGATGTAAAATCATAATGAGCAAAGGTCTTTCAGAAAGATCAGATTGTGGCTTTAAGTCTTGCTTCAAACAAAATTAGTGGTTATGATGAATTATTAATGGAATCTGATTGTTCTTTTAGTTAATCAATGTATCAACTGTAAAGATATTCAAGAGAAAATAAAATAAGAATTTTTATACATTTTAATCAAATTGGAACTATCTAAAGCAAAAAAGATGTCATGAATGCTAAGAGAGTATGTCAGGTGCAATAAAAAGAAAGATCAAAACAAATTTTGAATATGCTGAAATACAGAAGGTATCCTTTTTAATCATTTTATTTTATTTTATAGGTTATCTTAAAACCTTATTTAGATTTAAATTCAGTAAGTTTCTTGTAAGGATCTCTCAGAACTGGAATTGTAAATTCAAAACTTCGTCTTAATGAAACATGAACTTTCATATCTTGTTTCTTAACATGTCTTATTGGCTTGTGTGACAAAACTTTTAGTGGCCACGCTTGCCTTCAATTAAAAAAATTCATATCCTCAACTCAAATCTGTCTGGCCCAGTATTAGACTGGTAGTCATAGTTACATGTTTTGTTCACAGTTACATGTTTGTATACAGATAAACTTACACACAACAGTGAGGTTTCCATAACTAATAGCCTTCCCCAGTTCATTGGTCGCCTCACAAGAGTAGCGTCCCATATCACTGCTATCTACAGAGCTAATAAAGATGGCGTTACTAGGCAGAAGCCTTACTCTGGCTCCCTCATCAGGTGACGGGTTCATAATTTGATTATTTTTCCGCCATATTATTTCAGGTTTTGGGGCAGCCTCAGGATTACAGAGGATTGTGATGTTGCCCCCTCTGGTGGCATACTGGTTTGTTACCAACGGGTATTTGGCAAATGTGGGTGCAAACGCTGCAATGCAGAAGAAAATGCAATGAAATGAAAATGAAGGATTGGAACTACACTAATACATATAAAATAGCATTACAATTGTATTCTAATTGTACACTACTAATGCTTATAGACAGACAATTTTGAAAATCATAAAGATCAGAATATTTCATCCTCCAACCACACGGCTCCAAGATCTAGAACATCTTTCAAATTCTGTTGCCATGTTTTCTGGGGATGGAACATTCTGACCAGATATTTATTATCCGAGTATATTAAGAAACTTGCACAGCAATATTTTCCTTTTTCACTAAAAGGGCAACAGAAGGAGACACACCTAGCACTCTGAGCTGTCCCGTGCTAAACCTGGTGCCATACTGATTACTAGCAGCACACTGGTACATGCCCTTGTCCCTATCCTCAATAGTACTTATAGTCAACACATTGTTGCTGATGGTGATCCTGAAAACAAAATAAACAGATAAGAAGAATATTCCATCTTTTCTGCATATGAGTCAATCTCATACTGTCATACATAGGTGGACCAATTCTTAACGTAGACCTTTATTTATATAGCTGAGATTTTTATAGCCTCAAGTCAAAACTCAGATTGTCGAACTCATCTGAGTCGCAACACTTCTATCAATCTCATAAAGTTAAGCCTGTGTATCTAAACAGCTTTGTCAAGAAGCTACTTATTGTAATTATGATCAAAAATGACCCTAAAATATCTTCAATTCATATTATATGTAACTTGCATAATAAGATATTTTGCTGTAATTATCAAAACTTCAAAATAGGTGCTCAGGTTATTCAAATGTAACGTTTAGGTTGCCACATATCCCATATTCTCTTAATGTTGCAGTGTCTGAATGAAAGAAATGACATGATTACTCAGACGAACATTCCTGAGACCTCGAGTGATATGATAATATGCCAGAGAATTTTTCATTAAAATAGCTCTAATCAAATGCTCTGGTTTTTCAACCATATTAGAGTCTGAAAATCCAGATGTTTATCTCCTAATACCCAAATGCCAACTGATAAGCGAGAGAACTAAACAATTATGAAACTGACCTTTGTCTATCTGCAGGAGGAATGGAATTGATATTCAAAATTTCAGCATTCTTGTACCAAGAATAGGTGGCTGCTGGTACACTGTTAGCCTCACATCTCCAGACCAATGAGCCACGGAGATCTACATGTTGGTCTCGTAAGGGGAGAGTGAAGTAAGGGTCAGCTATAAACACAAATATTGACTGCATGTATACATGTACAAATAATATTAAACAAGGTGTTACAATAACTGGTTGGTGGGGCACTGGTGGGACACATCTCCAGACCAATGAGCCACGGAGATCTACATGTTGGTCTCGTAAGGGGAGAGTGAAGTAAGGGTCAGCTATAAACACAAATATTGACTGCATGTATACATGTACAAATAATATTAAACAAGGTGTTACAATAACTGGTTGGTGGGGCACTGGTGGGACACATCTCCAGACCAATGAGCCACGGAGATCTACATGTTGGTCTCGTAAGGGGAGAGTGAAGTAAGGGTCAGCTATAAACACAAATATTGACTGCATGTATACATGTACAAATAATATTAAACAAGGTGTTACAATAACTGGTTGGTGGGGCACTGGTGGGACACATCTCCAGACCAATGAGCCACGGAGATCTACATGTTGGTCTCGTAAGGGGAGAGTGAAGTAAGGGTCAGCTATAAACACAAATATTGACTGCATGTATACATGTACAAATAATATTAAACAAGGTGTTACAATAACTGGTTGGTGGGGCACTGGTGGGACACATCTCCAGACCAATGAGCCACGGAGATCTACATGTTGGTCTCGTAAGGGGAGAGTGAAGTAAGGGTCAGCTATAAACACAAATATTGACTGCATGTATACATGTACAAATAATATTAAACAAGGTGTTACAATAACTGGTTGGTGGGGCACTGGTGGGACACATCTCCAGACCAATGAGCCACGGAGATCTACATGTTGGTCTCATAAGGGGAGAGTGAAGTAAGGGTCAGCTATAAACACAAATATTGACTGCATGTATACATGTACAAATAATGTTAAACAAGGTGTTACAATAACTGGTTGGTGGGGTACTCGCATCTCCTGATCAATAAGCCAAGGAGATCTACATGCTGGTTAGGGTCGGCTATACATAGAAATACATGTGATATAAAACAAGGTGTGACAATACATGTAACTGGTTGGTGGGGCACTAATTGGCTCAAATATCCAGTACCATACAGACAAATGAGTCTCGGAGATCCACACCCTGATTTCTTTTGAAGTAAGTGTGAGCTAAAACATGTTTTGCTGACAATGCTTAATTTCTTTCTAAAAATTAATAAAATCATCTGTTTCGATAAAATATCAATAAAATTCATAATACATTAATATTGAGTCTATTTGCTTTTCTCTAACTTTTGATTGTCCTGGAATTTTTTCCAAAATACCTCAATATTCAGGCCCGTAGCCAGGGGGGGGGGGGGGGGGGGGGGGGGGTTGGGGAGTTTGGGCGAAATTTCTTTCAAAATCATGCAGTTTTTCACCATTCTGACTAGTTTTTGAGTGTTTTTTTGCCAAAATTGCCAAAGTGAGCCCCTTGAATTTTTTGGAAAAGTGAACCTCCCTTGGAAAATTCTGGCTACGGGCCTGATATTTCTAGTGCCTGTGTTTAAACTTACAATTGAGAGTTAATCTAACAGAGCCTGATGTTGAGAGACCTCCAACACGTTGCACTGAACACTTATACACGCCAGCATCTTCCATCTGTACATCTGGGATGATAATAACACGTTTGTGGTCATCTTCCAGATATGTAGCTCTCACTGGCATGTCAACAGGGTTTCCATTACCATCCTCTCTCACCCAGGAATACTCAAGGATTCCACTGGAAAAGATATCAGATATGACAACCTTGCTTATTCGAACAATAAGAATTTTTATCGTATATTCATCAAAATTTCAGAGAAATTACAACAAGATTTGATCAGTATATCTGAGAAGGGCAAGGAATATCTGTTTCTGTAATAAGGTCATGTTATGGAAGGATTTCGTCATGCTTTAGTCATAATTAATGCATATATGATAATTAAGGTTTAAGTGAAGGAAGATTAGCTCCCAGAATGCAATTTCGATATTTTCCAACAATCTGTAATGAAAATGTGGTCGAAGTGGCATTTTTGAAAAATAAACAAAGATATACTACCATAGTATTTGGACAGAAATAATAATGCTGAACATAACATTGAACTACACTGGCCCAAAAAGGACTTACGTTCCCCAAGCAAAGCACTCTAGCCGTATGTTGGTTCCACGTTTAACATCATTGGGGAAAGCTTGAGGGAAGCCTTGGGCAAGTCGGGGTTCCTGGGTTGTAGCGACTAAAAAATAAATTAGACAATCAGCAGGTTTTTTTCTTGGATTCAGTGAGCAAATATTCAAATCCACTTTGAGGCAAATATCCATCATAAAAATGTTAATTATTTGAAAGGATCTTGGCCTCAAAGCATAAAAGTATCACAACAACAAAAAATAACAAAGAAAATATTTCAGAACATTATAATGAAGTACAATTCAATAGTCTAGTTGTTTCGTATATAATGTGCAAAATTCATATTTGTATTTCCAATACTTCAGCATTCTCTTTGATCATCCCTAATTCGTCCCTTGTCTCTCAGGATGTCAGTTTACTGCCTAATACAAATTTTTCTTGCATTCCTATATAATTTAGGGTATTGGCTATGTGTTTATTTATTTTATTATTATATAACTTATTTCTCTCTAAAATATGAATAAATTATCTGATTTTCTTACAATAATTGACTCAACTACATGTTTTTCACATATTCCTTGCTGGTTCTACTCGCTTTTACTCTAATATGCATTTGAAAATACTACCGTCAAAATGACTCATGGATACTTACTAGCCTCTTTGACGTTCATGAGTGTGGGCATACTCGATTTTCCCCCTTGTGCGTTCCTCTCTCGCTTAACCATACAATAGTAGTCACCATAATCATCTCTCGTAACAAATGAGAAGTAAAGGCGGCCATTGTTGGATATAAAGGCATGGGGCTTGAGACGAGGTCGGATAAAGTTGTTCGTGTTATCCTTGTACCATTGAAATAATATTGCTGAAATTAGACCATTTAGGTTAATTTATTGTGAATTTTATTGATTTTAAATGTATATTTCATCTAAAGTCAGACTTGTATGAAAATTTTTATTAAAATTCAATTATGCAATCAAATATTCTATGTATAGTATAAGTATTCTATGTACAAGGAACTTATGAGTTATATTGTTATCGGGTAATCGTTAGTACATACCATAGTTTGTAGAGGGAGGTTTACACTCAATGGATGTGCCAGTATAGGCATCCACATCAATTGGACTCCTCTTGGTCTTGGAGAAATCCTGCAAGACTGAAACATAACACAAATGGTAAAATTTTATTTTTACTTAATTAAGTATGCATAAAGTGGGGGTTCAACCTGGAAATTTAAAAATTTACATTGTACATGTAATGGTGCGTTCTAAGCATTTGAAACAATAATTTGTTAATGTTTTTTCAACAAATATAGCAAAATTGCTTTTTTCTTTTTTGTGGGGTCGGGGACTACACTCATGCAGTTCGTGTGTAAATAAGTTGATTATGAAATAAGTTCACTTACAGCCAAATGTTAGCCTGACATCATTACTGAGTATGGAACCAAACTCATTCCTTGCGCTACATTGATAGGCCCCATTGTCGTTTGTCTCAACAGGATCAGAGATGATAAAGTCTCCATTTGTGAACGTGTAACGACTGTTTGTGTTGGCATTGATCTCCACTTTGTTGTTTGTAACATCTTTATACCAGCTAAATTTAAAAAAATTCTTCTGTTAATTTTTTATTTTTTTTATCTAGATTGTCAATTTGATAATTTAAAATATAAGACATGCATATTATTGAGTAATGCATTTTTAAACATTTTTAATGCATTTTATGCAGATTAATTTTTCATTGATTGTTTTCATTGATTTTTCAATTAGTATTGAAAGTGACAATTTATTGTTTCTACTCCATAATTGTTGCACAAATATACAGGGTGTCCACAGTCTCTTATCATTTAAAATCCAAAGTCTATAACCCTTGTAGAGAGACTTCATGGACACCCTGTATCCGAGTACCACTTACGTATAATCAGCTGGTGGATAGGCATCTGCATCACACATAAGCCGCACAACCTTCTCACTGCTGTCTGTATCATAGATGGTGCTCTCAGGTTCTGTCTGAAGAACTGGACCTCTGGGAATTGTGTTCGGATCAGGATTCTCAACGCCATAATCTGCAATGAAAAGTTTCACATTCTGATTCTCAGACCACTCTGCCATGCAAAAGAAAGAGACTGAAAGGAGGGGCTATGATCATTCACAATTTTCAAGAGTCTGATCATCTAAGTTTTATGTTGTATTTATTTCTTCTAGTACTAAAAATAGATGTCGTACTAGTAGTATAGGGATTTCAAAGTGAGAATGGTATAAAATGTTATACAGGATTCAGTGTCTTTATTGTGGTATATTGGCTGATCGCTCAACTGAGGACAACTCGGGGATCAAAGCAGTCACAGCTAAATTAAATCTTAACTTCATTGAATGCTCTTACTACCAATCACACACCCAAGACACCATTTCTTGAATGTGACATGATAAAGAGGGTCATCCTGGGTCACTTACCAAAATCTCTCTCCCCCTCTAGAATCTTGTAAACATCAGACTTGCTGATCTCACAGATGAAGGGAAGCTGTTCTGATTGGTCAACCAGGTGCCACGCCCACTTATTGCCTATAAATACACAAAAGATACATTTTCTAATGATCCTGCATTAAGCCTATATTTGGATTTTATTGTTGCATTTTTAGGATATAAACTTTCTCAAAAGTCACATTTAGGAAATATAACATACAAAACAGGTTAAGTATCTGTGAACAAGATTTTCTGAATCCCAAAATTCTATTGGCAACTGGGTTATAAATTCAATTTTCCCTTCTAAGTAGTCTTTTCTATCTTCAACTTGCAATGTCTTAATTTGGAGCAAGTTTATTCACAACATAACCTTTTGTTTGTGTACATTCCCAGTAACCACATTCTGATATCTATGAAAGACTTTTGCTCATTATGATTTTACATGCAAATTTTTATCAAAATCAGAACCAAGTTTTTGTAAGGACAAATGGCACTATCAATTTATTCAATATTTCCAATTTCTTTTGTTTGTTCAAATCACGACCTAAAACCACAATCTGATCTTTCTGAAAGACCTTTGCTCATTATGATTTTACAACACTTCGTTGCATTGAAATGTTAATGAGAAAAATAATGTGCTTTCAATTTCCCATTGAGCCAGCATGTGGAATGATTGATTGCGGTAAAACCATGTATACCCCAGCTTTTAATGTTGCCACAAACTCAAACCCTTATAAATGACATATGTCATTTCAATCAGCTACGCAGTAATTAGATTTTTTACAGCTCAATCGATGGATTCATGTACATTCATAGCATTATGGTGGTCTCTTTATGCCTACAGTCCTGTGGTTGATAATGGTTGACATTGGTTGAAATGTGGTTGTGCTGGTTGAACTGTGGTATGAACGGTAACCTTGCGTATGGCCTTTCGGCTCATTATGAAAAAACAACTCATTTTTATGATAATTCCTTACTCAATTGGTTTTCAGAGTACATTTTCCAATCAAAGGAAGCTTCATTTGAATAGCACTTCCACTGAGGAAGAATTAAGGAAATTGAATGTTTCCCAGGTACTAGTTATAGGAATTTTTGACCAGTTATTATTGCTCCAATTCAATGGAATAAAATGCTCTATGGGGAGCATGGGTCACCATGGTTACAAAGCAACAAAATGACACATTCGTTGAAGCAAGCTATTTTTCTAAGTGTGACCACTTTCAAGCAACAATTTACCATTCATAAGCAACAATGCCTCAATAAAATCATGTACATTTTAATTCTTTGAATAGTTTGAAAATCTAGGGAATGCATCAATGTTTTAAAATTAAAGACTGGCACTCAGAGAATTTCCCTCTCCAGATATGAAAGTTATTTCATATTAATGGACCTGCTAATTGAACATGCAGAAAAGGCTCTGTGAGGACAAATATTGAGCCAGCTCTGCAAAGGGGATTACCTCTCTACACAACAGATGTAAAATATTATATTGTTGGGGCAAGCTCTGCAAGGGGATTGTTCTACAGGAAATGTCTTCTAGTGCAGGAGTTAACCACACCCCTCTGCATAGCTAAGTGTTGTAAGTTCATAATGAGCAAAGGTGTCAGAACCAATTTGCAGAACAAGCCATCAGGAACTCAAGTGGAAGATATTACTTTATTTAAGGCCAAGACAAATACGCATTAGGTTCCCTGATATAAACATTGATCTAATATTACAAAAATTTTGATAAACATAGGCAACCCACAGTATAGAACCCTCAAAAATAATTACAGGGATTTCATTTTATCAATTATTGGAGAAACCCAGAGTATCTATTCTTATTCTTTTTCGATAAAAACCCACATTAGACTACATGTACATGATGAAATCATATAATAACATTGAAGAATGTTATTCAAGAATGTTATTCAATGAGGTAATTAAGAAAATATTTTCTGAATACTGTAGTTGACTCATCACTGAACAACTTATGTCTTTTATTTGCTTCAATAATTTTGTTCCATGTTTTTTTCTTTTATTTTTCATTTTATTCAGATAAAACTATGAATTTCTTTCTCATGGCCTTATATTAAGAGCCTCCTAACCACATTATTGGAAACTGACAAGCTGTGCACAGAGGCGAGGCTATCAAATTAGAATGGCCAATATCCATCATACTTGCCAACATTTTCTCTGTGGTCATGCCTACCTCACTCAATATCTCTCTAAAATTTGAATGAAGTACTCAAGTTTCTTGCGTTTTTACATGATTCAAAGTGTTCAATACATCTGTTTGATTTATTTATTCCTTGGTGTTTTCATTCTTTTTCCATCTAATTTACATTGAAAAATGTCACTAAGTGACATTTTGCATGTTGTAAATAGATCTTCCATTAAAGTCCCCGTCTAAAGTTTGAAAATATTTTTTTATCATTCATTTACTATTTGTCAGGACTTAAAAAGTGATTTTAGAGATTTTTTTAGAGATTTTTGAACAAAAAAGTTTTTTCAAAAAAAGTTGTGAGCATTTCATTTCTCAAATATTCAAATTTCCCGCCATTTTTCAAAAAAAGTTGAAATTTCTTAATCATCAAATATTTCTTAATGCATTTCAAAAAAGATTATCTTTTTAACACCAATGCAAAGATTGAACAAAGGACACACTATTTCAATAATAAAATGCCATATTTAATGGGCCACTTCAATGTTTTAGCATATCAAAAATATTTTGAAACATTAGTGATGTCACTAAGGTAACAAAAACTTTTTGAAAAAAATTGAAATTTTTTTTTCGATGTCAATCTTTTCTAAATATGCTAGACTTTCATAAAAAACCAATGTTGATTGTCTAACCAGGTTAAAAGGAAGAATAAATTATGTTTTAGATATCATTGTACCATTGGTTTCTATGAGAACTAAAATTTTGAAATGCATTTTTCTCAGAACCATTTTCATGCACTGATAAGTTCATTTCTCGCTTGTTTATCAACCGATTTTCTTAATTTTTTCGGCAAAAAACATGGGAGGATGAATGCTATGCATTGGTATGAATTGTGGCTAATTAGAAGATATGAGTGACCTCTAAAAGTTGGTTTTAAATAAATTCACAAATTTTGGAACAAAAAGTCTATCAAAAACCACTTTTTGAAATTTAAAAAAAAAGTTTCACATATCACACTTTGATAACATTGGGTAAGACTACAATATAAGCCAAAGTGGTTTAAACTTTACACGGGGCCTTTAAGGATGTTCCCTGGACGAAGTTGAAAACGATGAACACCAACCCCTAATTTTTCTTTTCGAAATGTGAAGTACTTAGCATAACTAAGTGTTTCTGTGAGTTTAAGAAAAAGTTAAATATTCAAAAGTGTGTTTTGGGGTGAAAACCTGATTTTTAACATGGGTTTCAATGAGAAAGTGCCACGCCCACTTTTGTCAAATATTGACACTTTAGAGGCCTCTTGCTCAGAAAAAAGCACACTAACATATGGTTTTTAAAGTTTTAATATTCTTTGTTGCCCGTGAGAATCCCAGAAAACCATTTTTGAGAAAAAGTTAAATACTATTGAATATTTTCCTATCTGACCAGGGAACATCCTTAAGTGCATCTGAACAATCAGAATGGTCTTGAATGACACTAATCAGACAATAGACTATTCTGCACTTAGTTACCCTATAAACTGGGATCCCAATTGTTCAAAATATCGATGGGTGATAATAGACTCAATATACATATCAAATAGCCCCAAGTACTGCTTTTTGACATATTTGACCTCTACATTTATTTTCTATTCAAAATCCCAGAGCGAAGAGCTCTTGAGTGTTGTTCAAACATATTGGTTTCCATTGAGATTCCTCATTATGAATTTACAGGTAAAACCCCTTTAAGCTTCACTGATCAGGGTGTGCAGGGTTACATTCCTTATATGGTCATGAGCCCCTTATATGGCAAAGAGCCATGTTGTATGTATTACCACTATACTTTGCATCTATATGTCAGAAAATTTCTATAGAGACCTATCATTAGTCTAGAAATGGTAAATATTAAAGTTCATTAATTATAATTAAATTTTTAATGCATTAAAAGCAAAAATTTATTGACTAAGAATACCTAAATTTTTGGAGACTATGTACAAAAAGGTAACTTTGACTGACACTCGCCAAATTCTGGGTGCATCCAGGTGCAACTGGGGGCAAGGTTATTCTTGCACTCTCATCTTGGTGTAGTGTCAAATAGAATGCATAGATATCAAGAAGAATCCATAGAGCTCCTCAGATCAGGGGTATCAAGATACATAAAGACGAAGGAACATAGATCTTTGTTACATCGATGCCCCTCTCTGTCAATGTGACTCGATACAATGTAAAAATGAGATAATTGAGAATATTAAGCCTCCGTCCAATCAAACATAATATATTTCCCTCTCATGGAAGCCTCCGCCTTATTGGTCCACAGGAATGTTTGAAAGATCATAATGAAGAAACCTGATACCCACACTATCACATTCCATTCTATTGTAATTCTAGACCCTTTCCATAGCAACCCTCTCAATTATCACAATTCATCTCCATACCAACCATGAAACTCATTAACCTATTAATAGGTCAATGACCATGTACTGTATCAATGACCAATTTTTTATACCCGAATATTGTACAATTGTTCAAAATTACAGAATGGTTACATATTAGAGGCCAAGAGTATTGTAATATGATACTCTCAGAGAGATATTGCAAATGTGTGGAATGTAGTAATATCCACGATGCAATTTGCAAAATTGCAAGTATTACACTAAGCTGCTGAATGTCATAATGCTAAAATTAATAGATTTTTCTTGGAATTTGAGATTCTGATAAAGTAAATGCCCTTTTTTACAGAAATGAAAAAATAGATTAAGTTTCACACTTCCAGAAAAATGTAAATGAAAATTTGAGAAATATTACATCATGATTTCAACAAAATATTTCGATTTTGAACCGTATTGATTTTACATGCAAATATCCTAATAAATTTTGAAATAAATTACCTTTTCATCAATTCCTTATTATAACCAGAACAACGGCAACGCCAAAGCGTAGCGAATCCCATCGAACATTTTTCAAAACGGGCACCTTCT